CCGTGTACGTGCGCGCCGCGAGCGCGGCCGCGAGCGCCACCGCGTCGTGGTCCTCGGTGATGGCGAGTTCCCGGGGCGTGAGCAGCCCGCAGGTGCGCGGGATATCCGTCACGTTCCGCGGCGCGGCGGACACAACGGCCTGCGGCAGCCGCAGCGCGACGGGGATGCGGTCGGCGAGCTGCTGCAGACAGGCTGCCCGCTTCTGCTCGTAGGCGTCGGAGCCGCGCGGCATCGCGGGGGGGACCGCCACCATGGGGAGCGCGGGCGTGGTCATGGCTGGGCTTGTCTGGAGATGTTGTGCGGGTGCAAAACGAGATGGGGAGAGGGGGGTTTTTCGGTGGTTTGTGAAGGTGATGAGAGTTGGTTTGGAAGTGCTTGCACCGGCTTGTTAAAGGACAGATTATGCGACGCAATAAAACGGACCATGTCCGCCGCCCCCGCGCGCTCGCATTGTGTTATGCTGGCTATTCACGGAGTACAAGGCCTCCAGTAGCCCCAGGATTTCGTAAGACGGGTTCCAGTGCAGCCCCATCGGAGCCGGAGCCGGGTAGTTGCCCGCGTTTTGCGGGGTACCCGTGAGGTGTATCGTAGAATTCATTTCCGATCAATATATGATCCCCTGGTAAGCCCAATTCTGTTAATTAACGATAGTGAGTTCCTTTCGTCCGAACCCCTTTAGAGACACCTTCGTCCCTTCACCCAAATATTCTAGCTGCCGCTCGGAATCAGCTTCCGATGGAGTAAACACCGCTGACGTGATAGAAGGGAATATCTTTAGTCCAGGATCGGCGATACACATCTGCAAACACCCCTTGAAAAACGCCTCCTGTGTCGTCTTATCGTTGGCGCCCTCTGACAAACCCTCCGCCGGTCGATATCGTATAAGCTCTGATATCAAGCTTCAGCTTTGTCATGTTTATCACAGATTGGATTCAATGCGAAAAGCAAACCGCCACACATGCCCAAGTCGGAAACTTGGCGGAAAGGAGCTGATGGTGACAAATTTGTATTATAGTACGCAATCGCCGTTGTCTACTACTCCTCTCTTGGAGTAGTCAATGTCCACGCCCACGGGCATGCAAATCACCTGCCGGTTCTCTACCTGTCCGCAGTCCACAGCCGAGATCGAGGCGTCCTCATTCTGGTTGACGCACTTGCCGCTTGTCTTGTGCATGATGTTCCGACTCGGGAAAGGTCCACGTGAGGGCGCCGCAGTCATCCGTGCCGGTCGAGACGGCCCCGTCCCTGCACCGAGGCAGCGACCAGGGCTGCGCAGGCTGCCAGTTCGACTACAAGCTGGGACGGTCAAGAGAAATATTTTCGATTTTTTTGTGGAAGTTTCCTAGTTTGCATAAGCATATACATATATACTCTCGAGCTGAATACTCGACCAGCAACACGCAAGTTCATGGTAAGCAACAAATGACACGTTCCGACAGGACGTAACAAGGCCACTCCCGGGCAGGTGTAAATGGCAGCACGTAGCCAGCCATGGTAGAAAGCAACGTCCAGTCATCCAGTCCCCTACTTTCGATAGGGATCCTTGAAGAAAATTACCTGAATGGTAATATCATCACGCACGTTGCGGCTCGTCGGCGTCGGCGCCGTCACCAGCCCCAGCACGATGCTCCGACGCGTGCCGCCCAGCGCATTCTTGAGCAGGCAGACGGCCGCATTATCCATGTCGTCCATCGCAAAGTACTCTGGCGTCGCCTTGTAGCTCGGCCAGCCGTCCTTGAAGCTCCAATTCGCCTTGGCCTCTCCGCTGGGCCGTCCGCCCGCCCCCTTCTTCTTCTTCGTGAGCCACTGCGACACGCAGGCGACGGCGTCGTCGTTGGAGATGACGTCCCACAGGCCGTCCGAGGCCAGGATGACAAAGTCTTCCCCGCTCACTTTGCGAGTCGTCACCTCGGGGCGGGCCGTCAAGTACGGCGGCGTGGCGTTTTGCTTGCGCGGGGCGTGTCCCGCAAAGCGCTTCTCGATGCGGGTGACGAGTTCCTGCGGGTACTTCCAGCGGTGGTCGCCAAACGCGCGCGTCACTGCGAGCCCCATGAGGCGGCCCGAATTCGGGTCCAAGATGGCGTCCTTTTCGCCCGGGTGTGCCCGGTCCAGGCGCGCCACCTCGTCCTCGTTGAAGCCCGTCTGGTCGGCGCTGAGGGGTGTGGCGGCGTAGGCGCGCGCCGCCGCGGACCAGGATCCCAGCACGGCACGCGAGTCGCCGGTGACGGCGGTGCGCAGCGTCGACGTCTGCGTGTCGTACAGGGTCAGCAGCGCGCAGGAGCCGGCAATGGCGGGGGCGAGGGCGGACAGGGCCGCGGCAGTCAGAGGCTCGCTGCTGTCGGCGACGGCATCCCGGCCGGCCGCCATGATTTGGTCGTCGAGGCGGCAAAAGGCCTTTTGGATAGCCGCGTCCACGGCGTCTCCAGCGGCGGACGGCGCGAGGGGGCTCAGCATGGCAGACACGTAGGGGATGAGCTTCTCACGGAGCACAGCAGAGCATGCCCAGCCGCTGCTATTGTCAGCGGCGTGTTTTCAAGGATGGTTTGGGTGTGTGCATACGCATGGCCGTCGTAGACACCGGCATAGATGGTCTTTGCCCCGCCCACGCCCTCTCCCACGGCGACGGTCCAGTAGTCCTCTGTCGGGCAGTTGCTCTCAAACCGCACCGCGTCGATGCGTCCGGCGGCGCCCTGATGGCCCGTAAACACAAACGACGTCGCCTGCTCACGAATCATGCCCGCGATGTCGGCCCAGGCCACGGGCTTGACGGGGGAGCCCACCGGGCCGTCCACGTCGACAGCGGGGGGGACGGCGGGCAGCGAGTGGTCGCGGCGGCTGCGGTCGTGGTGGCGCTCGGCGACCGTGACCCGTCGTCTTCGCGAAGCGTACCAGATGAGGGCGCCGCCGGCCGCACCGAGGGCCAGAAAGCGCGTGCGCCGCGTAAAGCCGGGCCCGTCATCACGGCGACTGGAGCTGGTTGAGTACAGCTGGTCGCGGCCTAGGCTGAGCTTGGGGGCGGTGACGTGCGGGCGGGCAGCCGCGAGGAGCCGCCGGCTGGCGGGACTGCATCGAAGCATGACAATGGGAGTGTCGATGATGCGCGGAGAGTGGGGGGCACAGTAGAAGGCCAGAGATGCAATCCAGAGGTGAGCTTGTGACTCGCCATGCTGTGTGTGTCTGGCACGCGACAACTTCCCCACAGCTGCAGGCCCGGCCGCCGTCTCGCCTTCCGCATTCACACTAGGAAATAGTTCGCACAGCCGAATTGATGACTGCGCTAAGCTGGGACAAAGTTTAAATGCCGCCGTTTGATTTCGGGATTTGTGTATAATTTTATTGGTGCGTGGATGGGCCGCTGGACGTGGCTGTATGATGCGGAGTCGGCTAGAGATCTTGGGCATCCTCAACGGTTGTTTATATATAAGCAGGATGAAGGCCTATATCCGTACATGTTTGCTTCTCTTAGTAAACTCGCATCATTATTTCCATGGTTTTTTTTTCTAAATGCTCGTTACATGCATCAATTGTTCCATTCACTCCTTACCTTTCCGCAGCTTGAGGCGAATAGACACTAGCCACACCTACAGCCACGAGCGGCTGTGCCACAACGAATTGACAAGGCTTCCCCTGACATGGCACTTCTTCAATCTACCACTGTTTGCATTGATCGATGCGACTTTTTGCGAGCTTGCATAAGGCCTTGCCCAACACGCCATGGAACGGGCACGCGGTTTCAACGACGAAATAGTCGGACACGCGGTGCACCGCGCGCGCGACCGATTCGTCGAGCAGCTACGGAGCCGCGAGAACGAGATTCTCACGCTCGCGGCGAAACATTGCGGCCACGCGTCGGCGCGCTTCTTCCCCTCGCGGGCTGTGGGCGACTACTATGCCCGCGGCAGCTACAATGCCTTGTTCTTTGTCGAGTTTGCCGACGGCAGCCGGTCTGTCGTGCGCATCCCGATTCGGCCTACCCTTGCCTACTGCCCGCGCCTCAAGCTGCAGTGCGAAATCGCTACCATGCAGCACGTGTCTGAAACGACTACCATCCCTATCCCTAGGATTCTGGCTTACGCGCTGGAGAGCGGCACCGATCCCTTGTCCACGTTTCTCGTCCTCGAGTACATTGACGGCAATGTGCTCTCGCCTGCTGCCTTTGGAAGCCTCCCTGCGGATGCCAAGAGGACGCTCTACGAATCGCTCGCCGATGTGTACGTGCAGCTTCGACGCCAGGAGTTCCCCTCCATTGGCCGGCTCAAACTCGGGGCCACTGGCGTAGCAGCCCACACGGCGACGGTTGATATCAACATGATGCTGCTCGAGGGCTTGAACCCGCTCAGCATACAAGATTTCTATCACGGCGAGTCCGGCATCCTAAAATCAGCCAATCAGTACACAAAGATGCAATTAGCTATTGGATTCAATGCCTTTGTCAAGAGTCGGAGCGCTCTGGACCCCGAGCTGGCGCTCGAACGCATCTACAACCACCACAGATTCAGCAAGCATGTCCAAAGCTGGCTAGATCCAAAGATGGATGAGGGACCGTTTGTGCTTGTGCACGGTGACTTACAGCTGTCCAATCTAATGTTAGATGACGATGCGCGCGTCATTGGCGTGCTCGACTGGGAATGGAGCCGAATAGTTCCCTTACAGTTTCTGACGCCACCCCTTTGGCTCAGTGGCACCGATTTTGTCCAACTAGGGCACCCCAATTCATGGTGCCTATTTCACATGAAGCAGCTTGCCGACTTTCTACGGATACTCAAGGTGCAAGAGGACAAGATGTTTCAGAACAGCACGCTCTACGACGAATGGAGCGGCCGCACCGAGAACGCGGAGCCGCTGGTTGCGAATGCCCTCGAGAGCTGGACCGATATGGAATTGTTTGCCCATAATTGGCTGGGAAAGGCGGTGTCGCCTACCGACGAAGTCTTGAGGGCATTCGCCGACGAGGACCCCCTACGGGGGCTGATGGCAGACATAAAAGCACGCGACGCTCGGAAGTATCAGCACGAACTGAATAACTTGAACTTGAGCTCAGAGAATGACGAGTCTAAAAATCAAACTGAAGAACATGCGGGCATGGCAAAAATCATGGGCTGGATGTCCCAACAACAAGGCATCCCAGCCGCGGCTTGCATCGGCTTCACTATCGCAGCTTCCATATCAATCGCTGCCGTGTGGTTGAGGTTGCGCCCCAGCTCTAGCCCCAGCCTCTGAGTAGGTCAATTTTCTCTTCAATGGCGGCCTTTGCGCTTCTCATCCTCTCGATGCTTGGATTCAGCGCGGTTACCTCGTCCTCCAGTTGGAGATTCGAGCGTGGCTTGTGACCCATCTTGTGATGTATTCGAGCCTATATCTCCCTACATAGCAAACTTTGACTGCGTAATTCAAGTAATTCTTGCTGTCTGGACGCAGCTGGTTCGAGCTCTAGAGCAGCCCATGTGCTAGTACTGGTTCTGTGAGCTGGCAGGTTTCCTGAGATCATGTACTTCCTACTCCCTATAGCCATGTATGCCTAAATATGCCCAGATAGAGCAAAATACATTGAATAGACTAAACCAAGTAAGCCACGAAAATGAACATAACTGCGGATTCTTGCAATTCCATATAGCATATATAGAAATTATCATTTCTTTTTCACATCTTGTCAACTCTTTACCCTGCGTGAGGAACGTCGCTGACACTTGAAGCACAAATTAAAGCACAGTACAGGGTAGCGCAAAGCCATCAGATTCAACTGCGCCAATGAGGCACAAGTGATATTTACTATGCAAATTTACATGTCCCGAGATTCCAACGCCAAAACGCCAAACCAATGTAGAACCCATTTCTTTTTGCATCGCCTTTTTACTCGTCAACCTCCCACTCTGCCTCGCCACCCCCGGTCACACCACCAGCGTCGGAGTCGAAGTCGCTATAATCCTCCATCTCCTCGTCGTCATCCTCATCGGCATTACCGTCCTTGTTGCCCTTGCGCGCCTCCTTTTCAGCCTTTTTGCGGTCCACGTTATCCTTTTGCTCCCTCTTGCGCGCCTCTTTCTCCTGGCGGCGCTTCTGCCAGCGCTTCTCCATATCCTTGAGCTCCTCCTTGCTCTTGTGGATGTACTCATGCCACATAATCTTGCCGGCGCACAGCCCGTCTTCAACCTTGGTGAGTCGCAGGCGCAGGCGCGGACCCAGCTCGACAAGCTTGACCGCACGGCGCTCCACGGTGCCCTCCTCCGTCTGCTCCGCCTCGCCGTTGTGCTCGGCGGCCAGTCGGGCTTTGGTCGATAGCACCTTGCGGGGCGCGGCGTCCAGGACCTCGACTTCGGCGTCGGTGTCAGCCTCGCTGCCGCTCGTCGCCTCCGTCATGTACCCGCCCTCGCCGTCCTGGCCGACCATGTAGTCGGCAATGTCCTGCAGCTTGCCGAGGTTGGGCATGTGCGCTTGGCGCGAGTTCTTGGTCGTCACCAACTTCTCCGCGGCATTGATGCGGCGCAGCTGCTTGGAGACGCCCGTGTGTCTTGTGGTGATGGCGTAATGGCGGAAGCTGAGCACAAAGGTGCCGTCGTCTTCCTCGGACTGCTCCCGGTTGATGAGAACAACTCGGCGAATCGATTTTAGAGGTGTGGCCTGGGGGTTGATTGGCGGAAACATGGAACGGAACACGGTAGTAGCCAGGGACTCGAGATGCTTTGGTACTTTGGACTTGCTGGCCGAATCGGGACGACTCATGTTGTTCATGACGAGCTACGTCTGTTAGCATTTTGGATCACAGGGCGATCAGGTCGGACATACCAGAGGCGCCGTTAGAAACTCCTTGCCCATGCCTTTGGGGTGCTTCTGAATCTTCTGCACATCCCTGCAGAGGGAGTATTGGTCCACGCGAAAGTTCATTGTCGGGCCGCGGGGTGTCAAGGCGACGCGCAGGTTTGTGTTGCCGCTCTCGGACCGAGAAAAGAGCATGAGATGGGTGACGCCCAGCGGACCGCACATGGCGAGGTAGTCCTTGAGCTTGTTGGCTCTGCGCTCCTTGAGCCGGCTTGCCGTGCCGGGCTCCATGACTTTGCGGACGTCGGTAGCGAGCTGGCTGACGCTGGAACCGACCTCACCAGCGCCAATGCGAATGACCATGCTCTTGGGGTCCTTGGCCGTCGCATGACCCTGGACGGTGGACTCGGGGTTGTTAGCACCCATGTGGGTTCTCTTTTTTACTCTGCGGCGAGCCATTTTGAAGGTATTTGGTGCTGCTTGGAAAAAGAATGAGGAAAGTAATGTCAATGACTTGGAGTTATAGAAAAATTGGCAGCTTCAACTGGTAAGATGGACGTCAAAAAAAAGTTTTGGCGGGACGCCGATAAGCCTTATCGAATGCTGCCTGCCTGACTAAGCGCCACCCATCTGGACATGAGAGGGCAAACTATTTACTACAGCACCGTCGAATTCGGTAGGGAAATTCTGTATAAAAGATCCTGAAATAAATATTCCCATACTTTCTCAGAATTCATGATCTACACAATCCATTTACCTTTGAAGCTGCGTTGATGCCATGTACCATGTCTGCTTACTAAACAGGTCTCTGTGCCATACAAAGTCTGCCCCCCGCTAAAAAGTTTCTGGAGACCAGGTCCTGATCGTCAATATTTCCGCTTGTCACTGTCGATTTTCTATTTACTCTGTCATAGACCTCTTTCCTGTGTCTTTCCGTAGTGCATACATCATGTCCGACTTGAAAAGACGTAAAGCCTCGCGCGACGAGCCCCCAAAGCCTGTCGAACCTGAACAATCTGCCCCCAGCAGCGAATCCGAGGACGAATCCGCGACTGTCGAGGCCGCCCAAGCCGATGACAAGGAGGAAGCAGAGCCGCCGAAGACCTTTAAAGAACTCGTACGCCTCTCTGTGACCCATCCAACATGCTCTTTCCCATAGGCTAATACTCCCCACCACCAGGGCATCGTCGACGCCCTCTGCGAAGCCTGCGAAACCCTCGGCTACAAGACCCCAACCGGCATCCAAGCCCAGTCGATCCCCGTCGCGCTGCAGGGCCGCGATGTGATTGGCCTCGCCGAGACGGGCTCCGGAAAGACGGCCGCGTTTGCGCTGCCCGTGCTGCAGGCGCTCCTCGACAAGCCGCAGCCGCTGTTCGGCCTGGTGCTGGCGCCGACCCGCGAGCTGGCCGCGCAGATTGGCCAGACGTTTGAGGCGCTCGGCGCGCTCATCTCGCTGCGCTGCGCCGTCATCGTCGGTGGCCTCGACATGGTGCCGCAGGCCGTCGCGCTCGGCAAGAAGCCGCACGTCATCGTGGCCACGCCCGGCCGGCTCGTGGACCACCTCGAAAAGACAAAGGGCTTCTCGCTGCGCACGCTCAAGTACCTCGTTCTGGACGAAGCCGACCGGCTGCTCGACATGGACTTTGGCGAGAGCATCGAGAAGCTGCTCAAGTTCATCCCGCGCGAGCGCCGCACCTACCTCTTCTCTGCCACCATGAGCTCCAGCGTCGAGTCGCTGCAGCGCGCCTCGCTGCGGGACCCCGTCCGCGTCAGCGTCAGCGCCAGCAAGTACCAGACCGTGTCGACGCTGAAGCAGCACTACGTCTTCATCCCGCACAAGCGAAAGGACACGTACCTCATCCACATCATCAACGAGTTCGCCGGCAAGTCGTGCATCGTCTTTACGCGCACCGTGTACGAGACGCAGCGCTGCGCCGTGCTGCTGCGCACGCTCGGCTTCGGCGCTATCCCGCTCCACGGCCAGCTTTCGCAGTCGGCGCGCCTCGGCGCCCTCAACAAGTTCCGCGGCGGCACCCGCGAGATCCTCGTCGCCACCGACGTCGCCGCCCGCGGTCTTGATATCCCCAAAGTCGACGTCATCCTCAACTACGACATCCCGTCCGACTCCAAGACGTACATTCACCGCGTCGGCCGCACCGCACGTGCCGGCAAGTCGGGCGTCGCCATCAGCATCGTCACCCAGTTTGACATCGAACTCTTCACCCGCATCGAAGCCGCCCTCGGCAAGAAGCTCGACGAGTTTGACACGAAAGAGGAAGAGGTCATGACCTTCCAGAGCCGCGTGCAGGAGGCCCAGCGCCACGCCCGCAACGAGATGAATAACATCATGGAGTCGCGCAACAAGGGCGCAACGATGAGAAAGGGACGCGACAATAAGCGGCGACGAGACGACATGGACAGAGGAGAGCGGTAATCAGCGGAGCAAGGCACAGTCGACGGAACGATGAAAAAGGGAAACACTACCATTCATGAGGAATACCCGGTTGATGGCCTCGAGTTCGAGGCCTGCAAAAAAGTATGGAGTTATGGTTATAATCAATTTAAAATTGCTGTTTAGTATTGACCACCAGAGGCTCGTTTCATATTTCAGAGTCCATACCCATCGCATTCCTGTCAACGCCGTTGCAAAATATCCCATAGTGTACATACAGTACGGCATCACGATCCCTGGCAACAGAGTTATCGGTCAGGGTCGTCATCTTCCGCATCTTCCATCTCCTCATCTTCGTCCTCCTCGTCCTCCTCTTCTTCGTTTTCGTCCCCCTCCCCCTCATCACCACCCTCCTCTGCACCATCTTCCTCTTCGCCTTCATCTTCATCGCCTTCATCCTCCTCGTCTTCTGCATTGTTCTCACCATCTTCGTCCTCACCGTCTTCCTCACCCTCCTCCTCGTCTTCCTCGTCTTCCTCGCCTTCTTCACCTTCTTCACCTTCTTCACCTTCTTCGCCTTCTTCGCCTTCTTCGCCTTCTTCGCCTTCTTCGCCTTCTTCGCCTTCTTCGCCTTCTTCACCTTCTTCACCCTCTTCACCTTCGTCACTTCCTATAACATCTTCACCTTCTTCACCCTCCCCTTCTTCTTCGTCTACTTCACCGTCTTCACCATCTTCGCCATCTTCACCGTCTTCAAGTTCTTCCTCCTCGTCATCAAGCCGCACGCCTTCCTCCTCTTCTTCTTCCTCTTCTACCTCCTCCTCCTCTAGCTCCACTTCTTCGCCTTCCTCCTCCTCCCCCTCTAGTTCGTCTTCAGGCCCTTCCATCTCCTCCTCTCCCTCATCACCCTCAAGCTCTTCATCCTCGATATCAGCATCTGCACCGTCCTCCTCCACGCCAGCCGCGTGGATCTCCTCCTCAATAGCCTCATCCTCGAGAGCATTCTCCTCGACGTCGGCCATTTCCGCGTCTTGCTCAAGAACAGGATTCATACCAGCCCCTTCGCCTTCACCTTCGCTGTCGGCGTCATCGCCACTAGCGTGGCTGTGGCGGCCAAGATTTAGCAGACCCTCAGAGACTTCTTCATCGTATCCTTCGGGTGCATCGCTCAGATCACTATCATCACTCCAGTCAAGTGGGTTAAGACCAAGTCTGGCTATTGGGGCTTTGGCTTTCACCCTAAGCTTCGCCTCGCGTCGCATCTGTCCTTCTGGACTGTCGCTGTAGTCGGAGCTATCAGTGTCGCTTATAGCAACGTTTGGAGTCTGGCTTCCTCTCTTGGCGCTAGAGACACTACTCTTGCGACTCTTGGCGGCGATCTTTGGTGGTTCCAGAGCGCGGACAACGGCTTGCTCCGCCTTGCGAAGGATGTCAGGTCGTCTGACGCCGGTCTTTCTTCTTGGTGCAGCCTCCGACTTCTCTGTATCCATCGGGGTAGCGGACCCAGCGCCGCTGTCAACATCAGCAGTGAAATTCAAGTAATTGCCAAGAGGACCCCATGGTTTCTCGACGGCGGGTCTCAAATCCAGCTGTTGAGTCGTATGTCTCTCTCCATCGGTCGTTGAAGTTGGCTTTTGACTGATGCTGTTATCATTCCACATTTTGCCTGCATCCTTGGCAGCCTCGATATCCAAGCGATCCGTAATTTCCTTCGCCTGGTTACGTTCTTCAATAACCTTGCTCGGCTCGAGGCCAGGGAGGCTGGTTGCAACGTCCGTGTAAATCTTGGAGTAACAGTCGTTGATGAGATCATCCATGGGGGCAGCTTTCATGAGATTTCCATTAAGCTTTTTGAGTTCAACAGCTTCCTTCATGCACTCAAAGGCTGGGATATGAGGACCTTCGCCGCCGGCCCATTCAGTGATACGCTCGCTTATAATCTCAAACTCTTCCATCGACAATGACTTGAAAGCGTCTTCATTGACAACAGGGATTCTATGAGCCTCCCGAATAAGCGAGACGTACGCCACAGAGCAGGACTGCCACAGATCATTGAAGTGGTAAAAGTCAGCACTCTTCTTTCGGAGGCGGCGAAGTAGCAGTTCGAGGTCGACACGGTTGCTCATAATAACTAGCAATCTGACCATGAATCGAGTATACTGTTCTGTGAAAACATGATGGCGACCGGGACGTTCCGCGTCGCACTTCCAGACATTCATGACCATGGTCTTTGTAAACATGTTGTCTCGCAGAATACTGAAAGCCGCCTTGGCCTCCACTAGCGCGTCAGGGCTGTCCTTGGCTGTGGTCTCGTTGAACAGAATCTTGGCATGACGCATGACAATTCTGTGTTGCCAGTTTGACTTGTCCTTGTCTCGAAGTTTTGTCAGATTGCGAATGATGTATTCTTCCCAGTCTTCTGGTTCCGAAAAGCTGGCGAAATGGTCGTTCGGATTGACTGGGATGCCAAAGGGCTGTTCGGAGAGAATGTCCGCCGCTGCGGCGGCAGTGATACATTTCGCGACCACCATTTTGTGCAAGATGGAAACAATCTTGTAATGAGGCTCCAAGATGGGTTCGCTGCTCTTTGATTTACGCGGCTTATAAGCAGCCGCAGTCGATTTCTTCAGTGCGTCCAGAATCATGCCGGTGGTGATTTTTGTTTTTGACTCGAGGCCTTCAACAAGCTCCTCAGGGTTGCGGAAGAGCTTCCAATAACACTTTGCCAGCATATAATGATTCTTCCAGTTGCTTGGCTTGCGGTCGATGGCCATCTTGTACAACTTTGCGGAAAATTTCCACACCTGGTGCTTGGTCACCTGGTCGTGCACAATCTTCTTGAATGTACCGGAGCCCATGTCTTCAATAAAGAAGCGCTCCTGTTCAGCGTGCTGAAACGGTTCCATAGCAAAAGGCTCTCTGCTGGATGAGTACAGCCGTGTCGCAAATTTATAGTACAAGTCGTGAAGCGCATCGCCATCTTTCGTACCGACCTCTTGGTCGCGAGAATGTGACAAAGCTAATGTGTAACAGTGGATGGCATTGCGTTGAACCCTGACGAGCTCGCCTCTGTCCTTGTTAATCTTGTCAGCTGTCCATAAAACGGATTCGTCCAGCTCATAGTCGAAGCATTCTGCGAGTCGGAACCATGCGTCCCATTTGTCTGCCGTAAACTGCAGCTGCAAACGTAGAAAAGTCGAACCAATTCGGAGGTCGTCTGTGGCCCCGGGTGTTTGTCGACGATTGAGCTCCACGCCCTTGAACTTGGTTAGGGCGATCATGCCAAGTAGGAAGAACCAGCCACGGTTAGCCAATGCTGCTTCCGGAATATTGACAGTCACAGAGTCCATAGAGACACTGCCCGCTAATGCACGATACAGGCGTAGCGGGTGAATGGGCCTTTTCAGTACCTCGGTCAAATTCCGTAAGTTATGAATCATCTGTGGCGTGGATTTTATCTGACCGATGCCGATGGTGGACTGCATGTGGTCGATGGTTGTCTTGAGATCCGACTTCAGCAAGTCCTTGAGCGTAAAGCGGTTTGCCAATATCATAATCTTATCGACGAGCTGCATTGTGTGTCGCTTCTCAAGTTTTTCGTAGGGACAGCCGTGATCCTGCAGCTCCCAGATACCAACACCAATCTTGAGGCCATAAATGTCGTATAAAACTTGACCAAGATGGTCCTCCCAGTTCTCAACGTCTTTTAAACTGAGTAGCTCAACGCGCATTAAGTTCAAGAACACTTTGGCTGAAACCTTGCAGAATTTGCGATGGCCGATGGATAGATGGACCGCATTAAGAAATGTCGCCAGTTCGTTCTCTGGTTTTAAAATATCCTTGTTCGAGAAAATATCCTGTTTCAACAAGGTATAAAGAAGACACCAATTGCGAACTTGCATCTCACGAAGCTTGTTCAATAGCATCTGGAAAGTCGAGTTGCTCGATTTGGCAGAAATCAGATTAACCCGCACTTCATCCTCAAACAACGAAATTGAGTGAAGAACAGTGCTGAGGCGAGCTAGTGCAGCAGCACTCTGCTTGATGTGGTCTTCATCAACAATGTCGAAAGCCGTTTTGTCACTAAGAGCCATAATCAGGGCATCGACAAGGAGTTCATCCAAAGACCTCATCGTCTTCATCAGAAGCATTCGGCGCGAGTCCTCTTGCATGGTTGTATATCCGTTGCTGCTGAAGTCATCCACAATCATCTCCACACTCTTTAAGAAGCAAGAAAACCGTTTTGTCGTATAGCCAATGGCTTCGTATGCGTCACCAAGGCGGGACCAGAGAAAAAGTCGCAACTCGATGCTGCTATTCTCTAAAAATTTCCACAGGTCTCGCATTCCTTGCGTGGCGCATTCAGAGAGTGGTTTCGTCGCCTGTTCGAGCCTTTGTGTTTGTTCTGCTCCGTCGATTGGATTGGGAGCCTTTTCTGGAGCAGTATGAACAGACGACGGATTCAGTACAGGCTCAAGAATGTCGATGACTGGCAATGGGTCCGTCATATTCTCTTGGAATAAATTCAGGAAAAAGTCCATTGTGTTGAGCTTGGAGATTTCTCGATCAGCGGCCGCGGCCGAGATATTCGACATGGCGTCGTTGTTTGGGAGGGTGAGAGACTCGATCTTTTCCTTGGCAAGGAATTCTCGCAGAGACGTCCACATGGCGAGAATGTGCTCGCGCACAGGGTCGTCAGCTAGTGCCGAGGACATGACAGAAGCCCATAGGAATCGTACGCAAAGGGGATCACTGGCTGGGCGGCTCAAGGAGCGGGTATAGTATGACGCGACGTCTAGCCAGCGGCCGAGTCTGTGCTTCGTTTTCAGCCGGGTGATGTTATCGACTACACTCGTGGGGCCAGTAATGTGCTCATAGACATCGATGTGAAGCTCCAAGAGCATAGGAATGACATTTTCCAGTCTCGCCATTGACTTGCCATCTTTTGACTGAGTCGCAATTTCCAGATCCGAGGTGACGTGTTCGTAGATGATCGAGTCGGCATTCTCCAGCATATCGAGGACTGCGATCTTGAGTTTGTCTGGCCACTGCTGCTCTGAGTAGCTTCTGCTCAGCTCAAGAATCCACTCGTAGATGACATCGCCTGTGGTAATCCAATCTTGACGTGTCGAAATAAGGTCGACAAATTGTTGTAAGCCTTGCTTTTCGTTGAACATTGCCGCTGGAGCTTGATCTTTTTGACTAGACTTGGCATTTTCAAGAAAAGAGGAAAGGCTGAGCGAAGGCAGGCTCTTCTTGTTAAGCAAGACATTCGCCGTTGTGTCGCTAAACTTCTCAAATATGGCATGCAAGTCTTGAGCTGCCACATTTGAGAATTTGGCTGGGCGAACTGCGCTGCAAGAAATTTCCTGGATCTGGCTCAAGGCATCGAAAGTTGACTTGTCCTCTACTCCGATGCTTTCAAGTATGTTTTTGGTTACTTGGAATAGATTTTGGTCCGACTCTTGGTATGCCTGCAGTTGTGCTGCTGCTGTAGCAGTTGGGTGTGCGGGCTCCTCGATGCTAGTCATGTCTGTTCGTCGTCGAACCCGCTTGCTTCGTGTTGAAGTACCGATCTCCTCTTCGCCCCCTTCTGGGAGACCTGCTACAGACTGTGATCTCTTTCGCGTCGGCATTGGAGTGCTGCGCTCTTTCTGCAAGGGCTCGACGGGTTTGGTCGGACTTTCTGACCTATTGGCGCCCCCCTTTGGTTTGTCATCGACATTTTTCTCTGCTCCAGCCGCCTCATTGACCCTTTCAGGTTCATCGGTAGGTTCTGGTTCGGTAGATTGCGTGATTTCCTTCGGGACATCCTCGAGCTCTTCGTCCGAAGTTGCTACTATGCGCCTGAGAACCACAGCAGCCGCATTGGTGTCGTTCATATTCTTCATGAGCGAGTTGGCAAGTTCGGACCAGCATGATATAGGCTCAAAATTCTGCGCATCTTCCATGGAGGCATCTTCATCCATCTCGACCTCCTCCACCGGGCTCGACGGGGGGGAGTGAGTTGCGCCGTGGGGTCTGGTAGAAATTTGATTGGGTCGAGATGTATTTTTAAAATGTCTGGCATTTCGCGATTTACCCATGGCGCAATGCTGGGGTGTGTTAAGGCCATTTCATCGTTGAGTACGTTCAGGTGATCTTTCAGCTGTTCGCCCGCCCAGCCTTCAGCCAAAGAGGGCGGCTCAACTTCATCCACCGTCGGGTCGTCATCGAGCTCGATGGCGGCTTCCAGGCAAAATCGCTTCAGACGACTGCTATTGATGGATGCTGAGAATCGTGACGTTTTGCGCCAAAGCTCCGGGTCTGATGGATCCTGGTCGAGGGCTTTGACCCAGTTGTCAAGGACTTTATGCGCGGCATCGTCATATGGCAGCCTTCTTAGTTCCTTGGCCGGGTCCAATGAATCTTTCAGCTTATCAAGAAAGAATTGTCCGTAGTTTTTGTAGGATATGTAGAGGGCTTGACCCAGGCTTGCAGCGACACCGTCAGCGCCACCCGCATCGACATCTAGCCCTGCTGAAAAGGCCTCAAGTGCGAGAGTATCAGGCTTTCCGTCGATTTGTCGTTCAGCTCGCTCGTAGTCGGTCCTGGCTTCACGATATTTGAATATTTCGCACCTAAACAGCTCGTCGTATGCTTCCGCGGCTTCGCCGCGATGCGCTGGCCCTTGGGCATGTAGTCGAAGGGCCTTCTGGAAGAGTTTCAACGCTTCATCAACCTATGGAATAGTCAGATCAACAAGTCAGTAGCATGGGTGCCGAAATATCATACGTGGAGCTCTTTTGTGGTGTCGATTTGCTCGTCAACGTTCTCCTCCGGCTCGAGGTTAATGGCCTGGAAGGCAGGCTATAACGCATCACTCAGTTAGCTTTCAGAAGCAGAGCTTTCAGAAGGTATCGCACCATGTTCGCTGCCAGAGATCAAAAGGTGCCAGGTCAACCATTCGGATTTTAATGCCAATGGCGATGGTTGGATGTCGTTTGCGCCGAGTTGAGGAGCTTTGGCGCGTTCAAACGTCGCGTCAGTTTAACAGGGGTACTAGCCACATCTTCAACTGTGGCGCAGCAGCGCAGTCTTTCACTTTCCCTTTCGCCAAAGCAAGGGGCTTATACGGGTAGTCAGAGCAGGATTGGTACTTGAAAGATGAAATAACGAATTTCTGCACAGCTATTAAACAGGACTAACAACTAAGGTCTCGGGAAGCGAGATTGGGGAGGAGAGCGACTTATTCGCGTCAACCGAGAGAATTACGACTCTGTCCTACAACGGCCCTTTGCCCTGTGTCGACTGCGACAGCAATGCCTTGCATTGGAAGCATATACTAATTGCAAAATCTATCCATCTGCGAGGGCGTGCAGAGTATTATTGGTATTATTCCATATTAATGAAGGCTGGAATTCGCGTCCAGCTGTCAAAGCGCCACGTGTGGCGGGTCCAGTGTTTGCTGTCCCACATCCCCTGCCCATCACCATTAAGCTGGCAGCTTGTGGACTGCGACAAGAACGGTTTCCCTCTTCATCAACAACGCCCTCTGGCCTGTTCTTTTAGTGCAACTCGGGTCAAATCGGCGAGCGCGTATAATCGCTACACTGGATAATCCGATTCGACGGACTGAGGAGCTTTACTTTCAAGTGCAACGACTCGCTCCCCGGAGCTAGCTGTCGCAATGTTGGCCCCAGCTGTACCAGAGTATGTGGCACTACGGCCACCGCAGAAGAATATATTGGCTGACCGGATCAAGGATCACGGAAGAGAACCTACACGAGTCGATTGATGCCCGTACCGAGTCGCTCCTAACACTGCGCGAGCTTGGCCCGCCTGACCTGGTCCACCTCCTGAGGCAAAGCACACGCAACCCACTGAAACAGGTAGGTGGAAACCGCCATATATGACATCCGTATTCTGACATCTTAGTCTGGTGTTTATCATCATGTCACCGGTGTCGATGCATCCTCCTCTGCCAGTCTTGCGGCATATATCAACACTCTCACATACAAAGAGCACGGGCCTAGTGCGACCTCTAAGATTGTCGAAGGCGTCTTTTGGTACGAGCATACAAGTGATTAGGCTGATGCCTGGAGCAGCTTCTGACGAATTTAGTTGCTACAATGCATTCTCCAGGCTTGACATGCGAGTTCACGTTTCCATCCCTGGGACGGTCGAGAGCTACTGCGTTGACGAGCGGGGCGAAAAGCGGAAGGCCTCCGAGGATCTCTGGCTAGAAACATATCTCTGCAGTGTTCTTCGTGCATACTCTTATGCTGATGACGGAAGTGGTGACACAATTCGCAAAATCATGGGCGTGCGCCGCTTCAACCCGGTCACAAACACCGAAGCCGAACACCGTTTCCTGTTTGCTGCTGAGCAGCTCTTTTTCCGCGGTAAGCCTGATTGCCCAATTGGATGAGACATTGACACTAATGCATTGTAGGATGGCAGCTCGGCTCTGACTCTGTAGTGCAAGTTCCGACGAATGTTTCGAACCATCTGACCACCGGACTCCTGAAATACCTCGAGACTACCGGTCGCTATGCTTCGGGCATTAACCTGTTCGAGAAGCTTCGTACGCAAAGCATTGAAGTCTCCTCACTGCTTGCCAAGGTCCAGTTTATGGGCAGCGAAGAAGTCGCTGGCGTCAATGTGCTCTACGAATCGCTTCAGCAAACACCTATGGACTATGTCATGTTGGATACACAAGCCGAGTTCTTGATGAAGAAGGCGCAAAAGGCCGAGACACCGGAGCAACGAACCGACCGACTTAAAATGGCAATGGGGTGTGCAGACCGTAGTACGGTTGCCGCCCCAAGCGAATTCGGAACCTGGGCCAGACTTGCTCAGGTCTATGTTGCGATGGAGGACTGGGAGAATGCACTCACGACACTTAACTCGTGTCCGATGTTTACATATCAAGACAAGGACGCGCCGTTGATGCCAGAGCCCAAGGAAGTTCAACTTCCTATTCTCACCGAAACTAGACTAGACGAGATTGACAGCGAACCCGAGTCGAGATTCTCCGAGCAGGTCGACCCGAGCATCTTGGGGCTGCGAGCGGCTGCCTATCGCGGTACCTTCAAACAAGCATACAGTATTCTGACAGAGATGACGTCAAAGATTGGCTGGGACCAGCTGCTCAAGATTCGCAGCACAGTATTCGTAATGGAAGACGAGTACCGCACGGAGAAACATGAGGCAACGCAGGGTGCTCATAAACGAACCCCCAGCACCGACGGCCTCCGCGGAACTCCCGATCCAACCTCCAACGGTGACGACAAAGCCGAAGCTGAGGGAGAAGACAAGGGCAAGGAAACGGAGCAGACAAATGGCGAAGAGAATGGCGTTGAGCGTCCTTCCAATACCATCGACCCCAAAATCCTAAAGGGAGATCAGGAGAATGTACGTTTATCAGTGCACTTTGTGTGGGTCAAACTAACAACTCAAAAGGGTGACGGCGAGGAGGTTCTGTCGAAGCTCAACACGAAGCGTTTGTGTGAACGATGGCTGGACAGCCTGTTCATGGTCTTGTACGAAGACCTGCGTGTGTATACGATTTGGCGCACCCAGATGGCGCAGTACCGCGCACAGCAGATGCAGTATAAAAAGTCCGCGGAGGAATGGGAAATCCTGGGCTCGCTCGCTGAGCGTCTGCAGCACTTTGACGAAGCTGTTGAGGCGTACCGGGCGTGCTTGTCGCTGCGATTCAGCCCGAAGGCCCTTTCCGGTGTTCTCCGCGTTTACGAACGATCCAAGAGCACCCGCGAGAGCGTCGCATCCGTCATTCGACTGGTTACTTGGCAGTACCGATGGTACAGCGAATTCAGCCCGGAGCTGCTGCACACTATTCGCACGCTAATCGAGGATGAGGGCGCCGTCAAGGTGCGGAGCATAATACAGGCTACCAGCCTGCCCCAGGCTGTACTTGATCTCACCCATCACTATGCCGCCCTTTGTGCAAACTTTCGCAGCAGCGGCACGGAGGGCTAGCGGGAGGGGTGACGGCCAAGTGCCCAGAGACATATGACTGGGATGGTAGTTAATAAAACAGGCGTAAGGATGCAAGGGAAATAGAAGAAGTTGTTTAATTCAGCTGTTTTATCTGTTTTATCTTGACTGCTGGCTAATGTTACTGAAGGTCGAGTTGAGTCCATAGTACGCGTACTGCTGGCTATAGGCACTGGGAAATTTGAGCGGAATGGGGTACCTATATTGCAGCTAGCAAGTAATACTCAGTACAGCAGATACTGAGATAATATGTCCCGAAAAGCTTCCGAGATAGAAATGCGATGCAATACCGTAGGTGGTCATTCATTCATGCTGCCTGCCCCTCACTGTGGTGGGGCTTATCAAGGATCTTATCGACGAGCGCGCCCAAGAACATTTTTGACATTGACAACAGCACGAACAGCCACTTGCTCGACCTCCACCGAACACGAACTTGGTCGGGCATTCGTAAAGGAAATCATGGCTTCTGAAAGCAGCAGCGTGACGAGCGCATCGTCGCCCGTTGCCATTGTCTGCGTTGGCATGGCAGGTCAGTCAACTCCCCGTGCTTGATATCACCAGAGCTTCAGACGCAAGAGAGTTAAACAAGCATGCGCAGGCTCCGGCAAGACGACGTTTATGCAGCGCATCAACGCGCATCTCCACGAAAAGGAAACCCCACCCTACGTCATGAACCTTGACCCGGCTGTCATCTCGGTGCCGTTCGAGTCCAACATTGACATTCGCGACTCGGTCAACTACGAGGAGGTGATGAAGCAGTATAACCTGGGCCCCAACGGCGGCATCCTAACGTCGCTCAACCTCTTTGCGACCAAGGTCGACCAAATTGTCAACCTGCTTGAGAAGCGCGCCAAGCCGGACCCCGAGAATCCGCAAAAGAAGCCTATCCACAACATCCTCGTCGACACACCCGGCCAGATTGAGGTGTTTGTATGGTCCGCCTCGGGAACCATCCTGCTCGAGTCGCTGGCCTCGTCATTCCCGACCGTAGTGGCCTACATCATCGACACGCCGCGCACCTCGTCCACCTCGACGTTTATGAGCAACATGCTATACGCGTGCTCGATCCTCTACAAGACCAAGCTGCCCATGATTCTCGTCTTCAACAAGACCGACGTCAAGGATGCTGCCTTTGCCAAGGAGTGGATGACGGACTTTGAAGCCTTCCAAGAGGCCCTCCGTAGGGACGAGGAGTCGGACGCGCTGGGCGGCGTCGAGGGCGGCGGCCACGGCGGGAGCGGGTACATGGGCAGTCTGCTCAACTCAATGAGCCTGGTGCTCGAGGAGTTTTACGCGCACCTGAGCATGGTGGGCGTGAGCGCGCGCACGGGCACGGGAATCGACGATTTCTTCGCCGCCGTCGAGGACAAGCGCCAGGAGTTCTTGAGGGACTACCAGCCGGAGTTAGAGCGTCGCCGGGCGGAGCGTGAGGATCAAAAGAAGGCCTCGCGCGAGAAGGAACTCGACAAGATGATGCAGGACATGGCGGTGACCAGCGGCGGCGGTGGCGTCGGCGAAGGCCAGGGTGGCGAGGACGAGGAGATGGAGAGCAGCGGGGATGATGAGGACTCGGGCGACGAGGCGACCAAAAAGAGCCTCCAGGAGCGCTACGAGGCGGCCTTGGGCGACAACGAGGACTCGGTGCTGGCGGATGCCAGTTTTGCCAAGTATCTGCACACGCAGCGGTAGGCGACGGCGCGTAGCCCAAGTCTACGGAAAATTTTACGAGGCGTTTGGTGTTTATGACAGTATCTGGCGAGAACAATTTATTTGATAGTTTTTATTCAATGCAAATTTGCCTTCCTGTTGGAAGGCATCTGATTTAACATCCCAAACTCCAAGCACCGTAGTCGTATGCCTTTTTCACGTGGCCGCGCCTTATAACCCCACGGCTGACGGTCATTCCCGATGTCGTCATTTTCATATATACGCTCCTCGTCCGAGACTACCGCGCCTCGAACTGGACCATACTAAATTGATTTGTTAGCAGCGCTCTAGCTACCTCGTCTGTCCCGTCGGCCGTGCTCGCGAGACAGGCCAGCCAGAGGGGGCCATCTTACCGCTTGGTGCGCTCCTTGTAGAGCACGCGACCCGCGCAGTGCGGGCACGCGACGACGGCGTCCTTGCCGAGGGAGACGTGCCCGCCGCAGTCGCCGCACAGGTAGGTCATGATGGAGCGCTGGTCGTGGCGACCGACGTCGTGGGTGGCGCCGCGGGAAGCGACGGCACCGGCCGAGGCCGTAGGAACCTGGTATTCTTCGCGGGGCATAGCTGCGTAGGTGTGTCTGTGTGTGGGTTGTCGTGGTGATGGCTGGAGAAAAGTTGACGGGAAAAGGGGCGGTGGTTTGACGGAGAGGCGTGAAGAAGTTATGTCCGGCAGAATTAGGCGGTGAGGGGACTTGCGTCGTGCCCGTGTAAAGCTGGCTGCTGTGCCGAGCGAAGTGTGATAAATGCACGGATTCGACTTGAGAATAATTCCAAATGTTTCTGATTTGGATGAAAGGAGGATGCAACGCTACTGATTGTAGCGTATGAGGACTGCTAGTATTGTCTACATCTTGCCTGTACAAGCTAAGTCGCCGATATCGTTATTACTGGTATTAGTAGTTCCACGACACGACCAGGTGCGCCCACAACGACAACCTCAGAACAGAAACAACAAAAATCTGCAGACCATTGCTACTATAAATCCCTTGTAATTCCCCTTTTTTCATCATATCTCTAATTCCATTCCATTTGGTTGCTTCATGATCAGCGCGGCTGCATGTCCGATCCCAAGTGGGGCCTCATGATACCTCGGTCTGGCGATCAACTCTAGTTATCCGAAGCCATCTTTGCACATCACATCAATTTCGGCCCAAACATCACCTCTGCGACTTTCTTTTGTCTTTCTCGAGCGCACTCTCGTTTCCCTCAGCATGACACTTTTATAATCCGCTGCGCGCTTCTCTTCGATCTCTTCGATCTCTTCGATCTCTTCGATCCTCAACCACCGCCTACTGCGACAACACCTTGCCCAATCACGACTTGGTGTCCAACTACGACGACGTGCCCCCGCGACCGAAAATGTTTGACCCCTCGGCGCCGCCCGAGGACGGCTGTCCCTTTTGCGAAATCGCCAGCAGCTTCCCGCCCTACGACCCATGCTCGCCGCCGGCCGCGGGCGCCATCACGCCGGGAACTTCGCGCCGCGCCGCGCCAGCCACCTTTGTCGTGCTCTCGACGGCGGCCGTCGTGGCCTTTCTCGACATCATGCCGCTGAGCGCCGGCCACGTGCTCGTGTGTCCGCGCGCGCACCGGCCGAAGCTGACGGACGCGACGCGGGCCGAGGCGCGCGCGCTCGGGGACGAGGTGCGCGTGCTGTCGGCGGCCGTGGCGCGCGCCACGGGCGTGGGCGACTGGAACGTGGTGCAGAACAATGGCGCCGCCGCCGCGCAGGTCGTCCCGCACCTGCACTACCACATCATCCCGCGGCCCGAGATCCGCGCCTCGGGCCGCCTCTCGTCCAGCTTCACCATGTTTGGCCGCGGCCAGCGCGAGGAGCTCGACGACGACGAGGGCGAGGCGCTCGCGGCTGAGATACGGAAACGCGTGGCCGAGGTGTTGAAGGAGGACGAGGAAAGGACAGAGGTCAAGGCGAAGCTGTAGCGAGAGCTGGTTTGAGGCTGTACGATGGTTTGTATCATAGCATTTGGCGTTGGTGATTTTGGGGGAGGGGCGGTATCAGACACAGAGACCGGTGTTGCAGGCATAATTCGACCATTTCCTTCTAGACTCTATATTTATTACTCATCTGTCTTGTTCGCTTCTTGTTTGCTTCTTGACACCTCTTTCTTATTCTCGGTGTTGCACTGATCTTTCTCATTCTAGGGAGAGCTCGTTCCTCGCGCAGTTTGCCGCGCCCCATTCCCTTTTCGCCGCCACGCCTCAATTTGGTTGAGAGTCACATTATGCAAGCCGGAATCGTCGCGTTCAATCTTCTCTTTTCTCATTGAAACCAAGCATTTGAATGATCTGATGGACTGATAAAGACACGCTGCGCCCTGCACGGCCTGGGCATAGTCTCTGGCGTCTTCACTTCCACGCCGGACCGCCCAATGCAAGCAGATCCTTCTTAGCTTCGCTCAACTTCAGAGGCAGCTGCGTCTTAAGCGTTTCATCCTTGTCCATAGCGAACTGAACATTTGGGATCTTGTTAAATTCGGCAAAATGCTGTTCAACGCGCAACCGGAAGTCAGCCTCTCCCAAATTCGCAAGGAGATCCTCCTCCGCAGCCTGAAGCTTGGATCCGAGCTGAAACTTGAGAAGTGCGTCCTCATTGAAGGCGGATTGAAGCTTCGGAATTTCCCGGATAAGAGCAAAGGCTCGCTGAATTCTGCCTCGTTCATCGTCATCTGGGCTAGCTTGAGTTGGGTTGTTGCCTGTGGTCTCTTCAGCGGGGGAAGATCCTCCCTGTGGTGCTTTTTCAAGAAGTTCAGTGATGAAATCGATGTAACTGCCCACGTTGGTGAAAGTCTGCGGGTTAACGATGTTTAGCGCCCCTCCCCTTGCCGCGACACCGACCACCTGTCGTGTTTTTGGGTCGATGAGCGGACTGCCGCTATCTCCTTCCATAACACCGATCGTGCCACCACCAGCGCATATAATATCGGTGTCTTCAGCCGTATCCTTGTCCATGCACGTCTTAATGTCGGACACAGGAAGATCGACTCTGAGAAGTTGGGGAGCGAATTCGGGCTTCTCGTGCAAACCCCTTTTGGTCTTGTTAGCTGGAGGCTTTATAGATCATATGCTGTAGTTCTAATCATGATGCCACTTACCATCCCGGGGCTGTCAAGAGTGAACCAACGTCAGGGCGTGAGCCGCTCGCCGCCAGGGTCGCAAATTGAATAGTGTCACTACTTTCAATCGGGTTGGATAGTTTCAAAATACCAATGTCAAACACAGCCTTAGACAAGGTCTTGCCATCTTGAACATATGGAATCAAGCGATACTTGGGATGTTGATGAATGGCGGTGACGTTAGCATCTACTCCGCCTGACTCACGATCCTATAGATTCGTCAACTTTTTGTCTGATTATTGCGATGATAGCCAAATGGTACTTCCAATAGTGCCACGTACCCCTGTCACGCAGGCCAGTTAGATAAGAGTGCTGATTGCTTAAGACGAAGCGAAGCCGTGGTTCCGAACGCGGCTGGGGGCGCAGGCCGCTCGCGTTTCAGTAGACAGCTAATAACTAATAAGTTCCCGCTGGTATATGCCTGAGGTTGAGTCAGCCTCCCTGCCTCGCCGCCAACGTTTTTTCTTGGCAAGGCAACTTTGAATCAGGTAGTATTACTGAATCCGGAAATACACTATTGATATGGTCTTATATAGCCTGAATGGGCGTTTCATTTAGATATCAATGACTAGAATTGACACGCTGCTGTTTTTTCTACTCTTCATTGTTCTCCTGTTCCTATCGAAGCTTGTACAACTACTCGTCGAGCATGGCTGCGGACTAGCTACAATGCATGGTGTTGCTACGAAGCAGCTTCCAACCCATTTCTAGCTCGAAGCGTCTCAAAAATTGGGATTCAAATGTCATTCATCTGCTCAACAGCGAGTCAACACAATTGAGGAGCCGCAGGCATGGAGTACCCGCATCCTGGGCGGCGCGACTCGCGCGGCGGAAACCCCCCCTCTTCTCCTACACAGCCAGGTTTCTTGAACAAGGTATGACTTTTGCAAGAACAAGCGAGGGCCGAGCAGCTCTCATCAAAATAGCAGGGATTTAATGATAGTGACGGCGGCCTACTGCAGCCCCATAGTTGCCAGGGCACCCGAGGTCCCAGCGTTGTTAGGTGCTGTGACTGCATGGTACACACTTTCTGCCACCATACGCTCCTAGAATCAGTCAAACAGCACTCTATTCATCCTAGCCTTATATATATAAAAGACCTGGTACCGACCCAGTGGACATGCTCGCAGGCGGAGCTTTCTCAATGAATTCGATTGCGTTTTCGCGGTCGCCATGTCGCTTCTCTTTCCTTCATGGCATTCGCTCTATTACTAGATGCAGAGTCTGTGTTACGTCGCCTGTTACTCATCCAAGGCAGCTCTGTGGACGGGGCATTTGATTCTTGCTCTCAAAAACTCCCATCCCGTTCTGCGCATACTTGGCCGCCAGCCGTTGTACGACTGACGACTCTGGAGGATTAGACTATTACTAGGTATTGGTATTGGTATTGGTATTGCTATTTACCGTCGTGAAATCCTTGAAAAGGGCAAATAACGCCTGAGGGAACCTATAACTAAACTTTTATTTTACAGTTCATATTGATTCCGACCGATCTAACAGGTCCTTTAGGGCTTTCGCTAACTAGTTACCTATGGAGTTTCTAGGAAGGGCCGGCGGGTCCTTAAAACCTGCATAAGGGAAATATAGTTTCATAGCCTGCGTAGCGAGGTTATCCTTAGACAGACTTCGCTGAAAAACGAGGGCTCCCGGGCAAGCTTCGCGTACTCAAGCCAACCGGCACCTATGGTATCGTCAATGTGTAGGCGTTGGCCGAACCAGGGAGGCGCGGATCTCTTCCCCCGTACCTTTCTGCAGTAGAAGACATGTCCTGGGGATTTGCGCCGGCCGCAGCTACTCGTGAGTGTAGCGTCGGCGTGGTTGACCCGTTCATCATATGATGCAAAGTCTCCGTGGCCGGTCCGGGCCTTCTTATTTAAGTAAGAACTATCCGTCTTATTACTTGCAGAAGCAATTCCTTGTTCAAAGGGGCAGTTAGGCACTGCGTCGCTCTTTCACTGGTGGAAAGCGTCATGATGACTGATCCTAAGACATCTCCGGCATAGCCTAGTTGGGCCACGACCGACGAGATACGGCGTACTTCCAACTTGAGCATCGTCCGGATTCCTGCATCCTTTGGCTCGTCTAATAATGCAAGAGTCTTTGTCTATGGCCCTACAACCACCGTATATAAAGACCAAGTATCCGTAGCCTTGTGTTCTCTCCAACATCGTCAACGTCCCACAACCTTGACATCCACTGTGAACCTGCGCAAACAAGGCAACTTGACATTGGCCTCTTATTGGCCAGAATTGGCTTCGTGGAAGGCAGGTTGTTTGTTTAGTCAATCAAACCGGAATCAATCATCGAATCAATTTGACTATTATTACTGTTTTGTTTATCGTATTCGAATACCCCTTGATTTCAACACACACAACCCAACTTTTCTGAACAAAACAACACCCTTCTCGAAAAAATAATCATGAAGTTCACTACCGCCGTCCTCGCCTCCTCTCTTCCCGTCCTGGCCGCCTCCCACCCGACCGCCCGCGACCCGCACCAGTTCCTCGAGCTCAACCTGCCGCTGCCGCACAACTACGTCGCCAACGACGTCTTTGCCGGGCAGGAGCTCAGCAACCGCCTTGCGCGCGCCGACGGCGACGCCTACACCGAGGCTACGTGGACCGAGCACGCCAAGACGCTGTGCTACGACGCGCCCAGCTGCACCACCGTCAACTCGTACCTCTGTGAGTCGCTCTCCCCCCGGTGGCGGTTTTGGGCTTCGGGCTGTGAGGCTAATGTGATTGGTTGTGCCAGTTGGTCCCTCGGGAGCCTTGAACGGTACCGGTGAGGAGACATACTGGTTCGCGTACCTTTATGCTGGCCCGACGTCCAACATCAACGACTGGGTGCACCTGGATGGCGCTCCCATCACTCACCAGCGCATATTTACCTCCATTGTGAACTAGCCTTTGCGGCATCTCGTTTGACGGGTCTGTTCGTATCGCAACTCCGATGTTCAATATTTGGTAGACTCTATGCCTAGCTGCCAGATAATTTATTATTTGGCCAAGTACGGTTCGCATCAGTGTGAGGATGGAACTATTACTGCCCTTCCTGTGCCGAGGGCAGGCCCCAGTCCGCACGTAGAGTGTCAATGTCGTGTTCTTCACCCTTAAGTAATATATGAGCCCTGTCCTGCTGAGTTCCATCTCGACATCGCGATGACCTGCTGGGCATGCTGCGTGCGCAGTGGGCCACGGTCCCACGGAAGAAATCGCCGATATGGTCATTGACTATGGCTTTTGTTGGTGTCGCGGTCGGGGCTATTGAGAATAAAGATTTAGTCGAGGTGTCTCTCGTTCCATTTGGAAAGGTACCGCAACCCATGCCTTGTCCATGCCAGGCTAGAGAAGCTGAGGCACAACGAGGTGGGAAGATCGCTTTGTTGGGAATTACCATACGGAATTTTGTAGCTTTGCCGGGTCTGGCCGTTTGCTAGTTTACTTTTGCCAGTTTACTATTGCTGGCACAAAGCTGAAGCTACGACGCTTGTTTCTGCCACATTTTTTTGTGCAGCCAAGGCACGTCAACCGCCACGGTCGCAGAGGCAAGAAATTGGGAAAAACGGAATTTTTTCCCCACATCATAGTCCCCTTGAACTGTAAAGCTTCGAGATTTGAATCGCTCTCTCCGTACTCTCCGTGTACGAAAAGCACAAGGCCGGCTATGGTACAGCTGTCCTTGGTGTTGAGCGCAGCTACTTAGGTCGGTCTCTACACATGATGAATGCTAAACAGTCTTAACTTATAAAAGGTGTCATATCCGCCATCAAGCAAATGTAGGAGAAAAGTGTACATTAAGGAACAGGGTGACAAGAGTGAGGAATGAAATGACTGGATCGTTTGAAGAACAGAGAGATGAGGATACGTATCTTGGCACAAATGGCACCGCATAATCGTCTTGATTAAAGTTTAGCTCAGACCCATAACAAGCACTGTCTGACCTGTCAAAAATGAAAGAAAACGGCGCGTCTCAAGTGTCCTTATCCATGTGGCCCTGCGTGGCACCTGAGCAATGCAACTCGTCTCTCGTTAGCGACGGTCGCATCGGAGCCACATCCAGGATAGATCACCCAGCAGCCGCACGATGCCGCCATTATCGTTGATAAGCGTCGTAATGTATTGGCTGGATGGCGTCGACGATCTGACCCGGCGCCATTAACTTAGCTCAAGATACGGGGCGGAGAGGCGCCGCCCGCCAAGCGCCCCCAATGAGTCCATTACACCCATGTATTGCGTATGAGCAGCATTTAAACTCTCCCTCATGCATTGGATAAATGGCCCGAAATTGTCCCATGCTGACACCCTCCTACCGCAGCGGCCCCTTCATCCCAAGTCGATTGCGTGATTAGGCGAAGCCGTGCCGTCATAGCGGCACCGACTGGACAACCAGCCAACCACTGCTCGCCCGCTTGGAATATTCTTTTTTCCCTTCCATATATAGTCTCCCCGGGGGGAAGCCGTTGCAGAAAGAAAAAAAAATGTCTCGGAACGTAGCATAACACTACTACAGTAGCCATGGGTTGGACAGACCGGCTTCGGCCATCCAAAGAGTCCGCCGTGACCACCGTGTACGCGCAGAGCAGCGAGACCAGCCCCAATGCCTCGTCCCTCGACCAGCCCAGCGTCATCTACGACGGCGAGCTGACGTACAACCGCGTCCAGGCCGGCAACGGCTCCGGCGTGGCGTACCAGGAGGCGGCCGGCGCCCCGGTGGAGAGCAGCTCGCCGCTCGGCTACGAGGTCGGCTGGGTGACGATTCTCTTTCTCAACATCAACCAGATGATTGGCACCGGCATCTTTTCTACCCGTGGGTTTTGTTGTATACAACTATGGCCCCTACTCATCGCTTGCTAATCTTTGTGTTGTTGCAGCGGGAAGCATCCTCAAGTCGACGGGCTCCATCGGCCTCGCGCTCATGTACTGGGCCATTGGCGCACTCATGGCCGTCGCCGGCTTCGGCACGTACCTCGAGCTCGCCAGCTACTTTCCCAATCGCAGCGGCTCCGAGGTGGTCTACCTCGAGCAGGCGTACCCGCGACCGAAATACCTCTTCCCCATCGTCTTTGCGGTGCAGTCCGTCATCCTCTCCTTTAGCAGCAGCAACGCCGTCGTGCTGTCGCGGTACGTCTGGCGCATCGCCGGCAAAGTCCCGAGCGACTGGGAGATGAAGGGCGTCGCCATTGCGGCTTATACGGCCGCCGTCATCTGTAAGTCTTCAATGCTGTGCATGCATGACATTGTGTGTAACTCCCGCTGACCAGACTCGGCAGGCGTCGTCGTGCATAACCGATACTCTCTCTGGGCCGTGAACCTGCTTGGCGCTTTCAAAATCGCCACGCTCGTCTTCATCAGCATCACCGGCTTCGTCGTCCTCGGCGGAGGCGTCAGCCGCATCACCGACCCGGGCGTCAACTTCAACAATGCCTTTGCCGGCACCACGAGCAACGGCAACGACCTCTCGAGCGCGCTCGTGAGCATCGTCTTCTCCTACAGCGGCTACCAAAACGCCTTCAACGTGGTCAACGAGATCAAGGACCCCGTGCGGACCATCAAGAAGCACGGCCTCATCTCCGTCGCCATCGTCTCCGTGCTGTACATGCTCTGCAACGTGGCCTACTTTGCCGCCGTGGACAAGCAGTCCTTTAGCCAGTCCAAGGAGATTGCCGCCGCCGTCTTCTTTACCCAGGTCTTTGGCTCGGGCGCGGCCGAGACGGTGCTCAACGTGCTGGTGCTGCTCAGCGCGTACGGCAACCTACTGGCCGTCCTGATTGGCCAGTCGCGCATGATTCGCGAGATTGGACGGCAGGGCGTTCTGCCGGGCACCCAGTTCTGGGTGTCGACGAAGCCGTTTGGCACGCCACTTGGACCGTACGCGCTGAAATGGGCCATGACGATTCTCATGATTGTGGCGCCCCCGGCTGGTGATGCGTTCCAGTTTGTGGTCAATCTGCAGACCTACCCGTAAGTTGATGCTGCGTCTGATATGGCATCGCCGTGTACTAACTGGAGCAGATACAGCATGTTCATCCTGGCCATGGTGATTGGCGTATTCATCCTCCGCCGCCGCCGCACCAAGAGCAATATTCCCAGATCGCAATTCCGAGTCTGGGATGTCTTGCTCGTCTTCTTCACCCTCATTCAGGTGTTTGTTCTGGTCATGCCATGGTGGCCTCCCAAGGGCGGTCCGTATGCCGGCGACGTCAGCTTCTGGTATGCCACATACTGTGTCGTTGGCATCGGCATGTACGTTTTCCTGAACCCTCATCTTTCACCGAGCCTGATAACTGACATTCGGCAGCATGGTGATATGCGGACTGTACTACATCGCCTGGATGTACGTGCTGCCCAAGTGGCTAGGGTACAGCGTCCGCGCCGAGATTGTGACGGCAGAAGACGAGACGACGGCCACGCACAGACTCGTCAAGGTACCTCTTGCCGAAGTGGCACAGTGGGATGCTGAGCACACCGAGTCGGGCGAGCTGCGGCGGAGAGGCACCACGACGGACTCTGACAGTGTGAGGGAGCAGAAAACTTGAGAGCACTGAGCTCGACGTGTGAGCCCATGAGTGATGATCCGATTCAAATATAGCTAGTCGCCCAATATTATTGCGTCCATGTCCTCTTCTGACGACCACTTCCGAACCACGACCCTCGTGGGACAGCGTCACACCACTCTGAGCAGACTAGTTGAAGTTAGCAGTAAAAGTATAATCGACGTCATCGTTATTCTTCGATACGATATTGAAAGTCTTGTCTACTAGCGATATTGTCTCCCATCTCAAAGACATGATACTCCCCGGCGACAACCTAGCATTGTGGACGTGACTGTCGGTTTTTCAATATTTGTCAAAGTAACCTAATCTCGTTACTAAGCCTTTGGTTCTTAAAAGTGGCTTTTAGTCTTTACTCATACTATAGTACTTATATATCTTACCTAATTTCTATATTAGTATAAAATATCCCCATTCATTGAGATACATAGTTAAAAAACGTCTTTGTAAGTTATGTGCTTGTTCCTCCGCTGCTGCAGCTACAGGATAGGTGTGCGCCGCGGTTATTCAGTTTTGACTACGGCCCCGCGGGAAACGTAGGCTCCCCCATGGCGTACTTTTCCACAAAGCCCTTGACAGATTTGTCGAAACCCGCGCGGTCATTCCTGTACTGCTCCGCGATGCGGTCCTCCAGCGGGTCATCCGGCAGGGGCTCAACCAGCAAGTTGCGGAGTGCATCAAGGACAGCCACAATCTTGGTGCTCGGCTTCCAATTCTCCGTCTTGAGCAGCCCCAAACAGATACTGCCGAGCGAGTCGTTGGTGACGTTGGGGTGGTAGATGCGCGTGACAAACTTGGCGACGGGCGCCTTGAACGGATACTCGGCCGGCAGAGACAGCACGATGCCGTAGCGGCCCGGGTGGTAGACGCTGTCGGCCGGCGCGGTGAGCGTGACGTGCCAGGTGTGCAGCGCGTCGTTTGGGCCGAGCGCGATCTGGTAGCCGTCGGGCGGGGTCTGGGTGAGCTCGCCGTATTCCTGGTATGTGAGCGGGAGATGATTTGACGGAGCGGGAAGAGGATTTACCTTGGTGATGCGGCGCGTGGAAGACATGGTGAGGCGGGTTGTGATGGTGTAGTAGTAGGTAGGTGAGACAAGTTGTGTCACGGCCAAAAGTGGTGTGCGCGAGGCCCTATATTGCCCTATATTATCACTCTAAGGCGCTGGGCCTAGCGCGGGTGTAAGGCCTAGATTCTGAAGCGCAGATTTTAAGGCGTCAATAGGTTGGGTGGTGCGCAGACGGTGATGAAGCGGTTTGGAGGATTGGATGGAGTGGGAGGGAGAGTGGTGAGGTGCGGCCAGGTGCGGTGTTTCAAGCGCTCAAGCGCTCATGACTGTGCGTCTAAGGCAGCAAGTAAAAAGGTATCAAGTCTAATAAGGCTAGACCACGTAGGTAATAATAAGCAGAATCTAATAAATATTTATTAATAGTTTTATAGCTATTAAAAAATAAAAAAATAATAAAAGTCTAGGTTATAAAATAACGAATTAGATATATATGTTAAGGGCTAGGCTACGGAGCCCGCCCTGGTCCTTCTAGAGTGGCTAGCGTGGAGCCCCTAGGGGGCCCCTTATAGGTACAACCAGACAACAATCATACTAGTATTATTATTATAAATCCTTTTAGCCTTATAGTTAAGAGGGTTATAGCTATAAGGCTACTAACAGCTATAAGGCTAGTTACCCCTAAAGCCCCTCTAGGGCTAGCCTGTTATATATAATAATACTACCTAGGGTTATAAGTTTAAACCGTAGCGTATATAGTTATATAAAAGGGGCTAGCATATACGGTTTAACCTAGGCTTATAGGCTATATATTAGAGCCTAGGGGGTTTATAGCCTATCTATAAGTATACTAAGGAGAGAGAGGGTATATTAAGGGCTAGGCTATAGAGCCCGCCCTAGTCCTTCTAGAGTAGCTAGCATAGAGCCCCTAGGGGTGTTAAGGACTAGCCCTAGGGTATCTATAGATAGGCGTTATAATAGTATTAACTCTCTTATAAAGTAAGAGAGGAGGAAAAGCTAGTCTATCTATCTACTATAGTATATAAAGGGGGTATACTAGGGGTATACCTATAGTAGCCTTAGGCTAAGTCTAGTTAGAGTAGGCTTAAGCCTAACTCCTTTATATACCCCCCCTCTCTAGTAGCGCCCTAGTTATATTAACTATAATTACCTAAGCTAATATAGGCCTATTATACCTTACTTACCTAAACTAGTATATATTTAATATATACCTTATACCTATACTAGGTTATTACCTAGGGTTTATACTCTTATAGCCTATATATATATTACTAAAGAATATTCTTATAGTAACCCTAGTTTACTTACTTTTTATTATAGCCTTTATATTTAGGAATTTCTTTTAGGTAGTCTATATATTATAATTACCCCTTATTCTAGGTATAGCTATCTAGGTAGCTAGTATTTACTAGCCTTACTCTTACTCTACCTATAGCTAGTTATATTATATTTAGCTTCCTAATACTATTAGTTATTACCTAGGTATAGTAAATTATCTTTTTATTATTATTAAGTAAGGTATATTATATATATACTATATTATTAATATATTTAAAGTAAAGGGTATTTTTTAGCCTAGTTAGCCTTCTCTTTTATAGATAAATCCTTTACTCCTTTTCCTAACCTACTTTATTCTTTTACTTCTTATAACCTTCTATTAATTCTATACTCTTAAAATACTCCTTTTTAAACTATAATAATTTTATAATAATATATAAATATAATAATAATAACCTATAATATTAACTACTACTACTATACTATCCCTACTATTACTACTTAGTAATAATAAAAGCCTAGAGGGGTATAAGAAGGGCTATTAAATAATTTATAGCTATACCCTATAAAGTAATTCTAATAATAAAGAGTACTAGTTTAATAATAAACTAGACTTCCTATATATTATATATCTCTTATATTTATATTAAATAATAGTATTAAATTATATTATAAATACTAATAGTAAGTATACTACCTATACTATAAGCTACTAGTCCTATATTTAAGAGCTTATTCTATTTATAAATAGTCCTAGCCTATACTAATATATATATACTTTAATAATACTTATTAATAGTAATAAGGCTATTATAATACTAGTAATTAATACTATATATACTAAGGGGTATAAATATATAGTTCTAATAGCTATATAGGTATATATTTAAGACTATTTTACTAGTACTCTAGCTAATACCTATATAAACCTAACTAGTACCCTACCCTTACCTAGTACCTTAGGTACTATACTAGTTATTACTCTAGTTACTAATATTATAATAGTAATAATACCCTAAGGCTACTATACTAGTAATAGCTTTAATAGCCCTACCTATATAGTATTAGGTTAAATTAATTAAAACTTTATTATATTTATAGTAAGTATATATACTTTCTCTTTAGTTTACTATTTATATCTTAATAAAGAATAATATAGGCCTAGGCTATATACTAGGAGGCTACTAATAATACTATCCTAATAATATTATAGTACCTAGCTACCTTCTTAATACCTAGCTATTAAGCTATTAAATACTATAACTTAGATTATAGTTACTTCTTATACTACTAGTCTAGTAGCTATTATTACTATTATTATAATAACTTATATTATTCTTATTTATACTATTATTACTTTTACTCTTATTTATACTTATACTACTATTATTCCCCTTCTTATTATTACTCTTCTTTACCTAATAATTACTTAATATTACCTATCTAGATATACCTACCCCCTTCTTTATTACTACCTTATAACCTAGCTAGTAGTAGTACTACCCCTACCTTTTCTAATCTAATAGCTATTATTAAAGATATTAATAATAGTAATAAAAAGCTTTAAGAATTTATACTATAAGTATAGGTATATTATATTATTTTTCTTTCTTTACTTTATTATTATATAGTTATACTTTTAAAATAATATAGTATTAATATACCCTTAGTTTTATATTTTTATATCTTTTCTTTTCTTTTCTTTTTTATTTTTATTATACCTAGCTAGTATACTATAGCCTTAATATAATACTAGTATACTTATAATTTATATTTTTAGTATTACTTTTTTATTTTTATTAATAACTTTTAATAGCCTAGGCTATATATACTAAAGGGCTTAGTAAAGACTTAGTAAAACTATAAGTATAAAGGTATACTCCCTTTAGAATAAAAGAATTATTACTCTTTATTATCTTATAAGTCCCTACTATCTTTAGTATAATACTTAGCTTTATTTATATAAAGTATTATACCTTTATACTATACCTATTATAGCCTTAATTATTAGTTAATAAACTATACTTATTTAGTTTTATAAAGGTAGACTATATATAGTTTATTATTATCTTAAGTATTACCTTATTATTCTTTAAACCTTATAAGTATAGTACTATTCTATAGTACCTTTAGTAATTCCTAGGTTAGGTCTTAATACCCTACCTATTTAATAAATACCTCTTTCTTATAGCTTTATCTTAATAGGTAGTATATATATAGGATTTCCTTAATAGTATATTCTTAGGTTAGCCTTAGGCCTAGCCTATCTTTAACTAATACTAGCTTAAAGGCCTAATTACTTTATATTTAAGATAAAAAAGGATTATTTATAGCCTATTTAATAAGGTTAATATAGAATATCTTATAAAGGTTCTTAAGTATATTAAAAGTTATTATTAATAGTATTAAGATTATTATTATTATATATTTTACCTAGACTTAGTTAAGTTTCTTATTTAATTATATTATTATAATATTATATAGGGAGAGTTATACTTTATCTTTTTTTTAAAAGTATTCTATAAGGTACTAGGAGTTATCTATAGCCTTCTTAACCTATTATTAGGTATATATAATTATAGCCTAGGCTAGCTCTAAGCCCTTCTTAATATACTTAAGGAATACCTTTACTCTCTTTATAGGAAACTTAAGGGGTATTAATAGCCTTATTATAAACTATATAGCTAGCTTATAATAGTTATATAGTAGGAAGTTTAGGCTAAAGCTTATAATAAATAAGTCTTAATTATTAAGTATAAACTAGGCTATTAGTAACTAGGTAGACTAGTTATATTAAGAGTATATAATTAGTATTTAAAGTACTACTTATACTTCCTAGTTTACTTACTCTATCTTACTATCTATCTAAGGGTAGAAGGCTATTAATAGGAGTTATTTAGTATTAGTTAGGTAGTATAATATCCTTTAGAACTTACTAACCTAGTCTAAACCTTTATTACTTATAAGCTAGTTAAGGAATCTATAGAAGTATTACTAGTATAAAAAGAATTATATTATATAATTCTTTACTATTATAGAGTTTATTACCTTAAGCTAGATATACTTTAATAGTTAGTTAGTAATTACTATTAAGAAATATAGCTAGCCTTTCTTCTAGGCTAGTAAGTCTATTATAAAGTTAACTAAGATTTACTATTAATATTACTCTTTAATAGGAATTAGCTATAGAAGTCTTTAATATAGTTTCTTTAACTTATATACCTTAAAATACTTATAATTCTAGATATAGTATACTATATCCTAAGATATTCTTAACTAGTAGTAATCCTATATAAGTAGTAGGAATATAGTATTCTTCCCTAGGTATACTATTATAAGTAAAGAGTATACCCTCTTTATTAGGATAGTTATTAGTAGTTCTTAGCTTAGAATCTATAAGTAGCCTCTAAACTAGAGCCTTTAGTAAGTAAAAATAGTATAGTTTATAACTTATTTATAGGTCTTAGCCTCCTCTAAGAAGGACTAGGCGCCTTAGTATATAGCTATTAACTTAGTAAGGTAGCTTAGGTTTATTACTATATTATCTTTTTATAGTACTAAAAGCTCTAGGTTTAAGAATAGTAATAAGTATTATTTACTTATACTTATTATTATAATTACTATAATATTAATTAGCCTTATAATCTCTTTTAAAGGCCTCTCTAGGTTATCTTTATATACCTCCTACTAGCTAAGGGTATTTAGTTATTATATTAGTAGTTTAAGTTAGTAGTATAGCTAGAATTAAAACTAGGAAAGGAACTCTACCTACCTAGTCTATTATTCTAATAGTAAGTATAGCTTTATAAAGTACTTAAGGTTCTTATAATTAGTTAAGATTATAAAGGGGTTTTTTTACTTTTAAAGCTTAGGCTTTTATACTTTAAGGTATATAATAATTACTAAGAGCTCCCTATTATAGATTATATAATTCTATTCTATAGTTAATAGCTTAGTAAAATAATAGGCTATTAGTTAGAAGACCTTATCCTTATTAACCTATAATAGGTAGTTACTTAGTTCTATATTAAAGGTATTTAGTTCTATTAGTATTTTCTTTATTAGGTCTTAAAGGCTTAGGTATAGGCTTAATAAGAATAATAATTTTAATATCTTAAATATAGTTACCTCCTCTTTATTCTATATAAATAGTATACCCTTTTTTATTAGCTAGGTAAGTAGCTTTTATATAGTTAAGAAGTCTAGAATAAAGTTATAATAGAAGTTTATAAATCTATTAAAGCTTTAAACCCCTTTTACTAAGGTAGGTACTTCCTAATTATAGATTATATATATCTTCTCTAGATTTAGCTTTAGTAAAACCCCTACCTATATAATAAATCTTAAGTATTTTACTATTTTTATAAAGAAGTTATACTTAGCTAGGTCTATATAAAGACTAGTATCCTTAAGGTAGTCTAAAATTACTTATACTTTCTCTTTATAGTCTTATAAAGACCTTAAGGTATAGATTAGGATATTATTAAGGTAGGTTATTATATATTTATTAAAGAAGTTACTTAGTATATAGTTAATATACTATTAGAATATTATTAGTACTTTAAAGAGACTAAAGGGGTATATAAGCTACTTAAAGAGGCTAAACTAAGTCTAAAAAGCTATAAACTTTTTAGACTTTATCTTTATTTATAGCCTATAGAATACTAAATAGATATTAAGCTTTATATACTACTTTACTATTAAGAGGGCCTATAGTATCTCCTTAATAAGTAGGAGTAAGTATTTATTATTTTTTAAGATTATATTAAGCCCCTTATAGTCTATATAAAAGTACTACTCTTTATTTAACTTCTTTATTAAGAGTACTAATACTATAGCTAGAGATAAACTTACTTTTATTTAGCTTTTATTTAGTAAAGATATTAGCTACTTCTATAGTTCTAGTAACTAGTCTTAAGATATATAGTAAAGATAGCTATATAGTAGCTATTCTAGTATACTATTTAGCTTAGTTTTAATCTTAATCTTATAGTTAAACCCTTCTTAGTAAGGTAGTAATACTATTATATCCTCCTTCTAGAAAAGGTCTTTAAACTCCTTATATTACTAAAGGACTATCTATTTCCTAACTAGCTCTTAATAGAGAATAGTATTAATCTTATAGATACTTATTAATATAATCTATATTACCTTATAGTATTCCTTAAAGTCTACCTTAAGCTAATAGTAAAACTAGCTTCTACTAAATAGTACTAAGCCTCCCTTATTCTTTTTATAATTTTTTATATATATCTTCTAGTATAGCTTTATCTTAAGGTAGATAAAACCCCCTTCTATATTTATTATTAGCCTATAGTAGGTAAGCTAAGGTAATTTAAGTATTATTAGCCTTAATAATATAGGTATTATATAAAGTAGGACTAAGAATACCTAGCTATTAATATCTACCTTAACCTTTACTATATTAAATATTATAAACTTTAGTACCTTTTCCTTTATAGCTAGCTTAATCCTTTACTTAGTTAGTAATAGGATTCTTTTAAAGTATAACCTATTTACTATCTTTTTCTATATTACTTTATAGTATTTATAGCCTAAGTTAATAAGGGTATTTATTAATATATATACTTTTAAGATAATAAAGATAAGGAATAGTTTAGTATTTATTTATTTAGTTATCTTTTTCTAGACTACCTTATCTTACTTATCTATTCCTTTCTAACCTTTTACTATAGCTAATATACTTAAAAGGAGACTTATCCCTAAGTATCCTCTTTTTTTAAGCTATTAGACTAATCCCTTATAGAAATATTACTTATATAGACTAGTATTAAAGGTCTAGCTAGCTTAAGCCTATAGGCTATAATTATATAGCCTATTCTTCTATAGTAAAGGTATTACCTTACCTCCTAGTATATATTAAGTACTACTTTAAATACCTATATAATATACTTTCTAGACTATATACTACTTAAGATTATACTACTAGTAATTAGTTTAATTCTAAAGGTATAGATACCTATTATTTAAATATTCCCTTTATAGTCTATATACTACCCCTATAGTCTTTATTATAGTTTAGCTTAGTATTACTTTTTAATTCTATATAATTTAAAGTTAACTATTACCTTCTAAAGTACCTAGATTATATTATTATAGTTTATTTAAAAGATACTATAGCTAATTATAAGTATCTTTATTATAACTAATAATATAAGGTAGAGTTTATTTAGTTTAACCTTATTTAACTATATAAGGCTATTAATTAAGGCTAACTTTTATTTAAAGTATATATAATAATAGTTAAAAGACTCTTTATTACTTTATAAGATTATACTAAGGTTTATTATTATTATAAACTATTAATAAGGGTTATTAAATACTATTTTAAAGTATCTTAGGAATTTATATAAATCTATTATACCTTAAGGACTACCTACTTTAAAGTATATAATAACTTTTAGTTATAATATAATATTAAGGTTTACTTAAATATATATAAACTAAGACTTTAAAAGGCTAATAAAGTCTATATTAGTCTCTAGTTTATATATTATAGCTTACTTTTATTTTATAAATACCTTAAGATTACTATTAAACTTCTCCTTTATAGGTAGGGGCTTCTACTAGACTATAGGTAGGTTAGCTAAGGGAGGGGTACCTCTTAATACTACTATCTAGCCTTAAGGGTTTTAGCTAGCTATAGCCTAGGTATTAAAGAGGTCTTATAGTTATTATAGCTTCTCTTTTAAGAATATATTCTATTCTATTATAGCTATAGTCTAGGCTAAGAGTGTTTAGTAGGCCTTAGCTATTAGTAACTATTATTTAGGTTATAGTTTTATTATTATTACTTTTATCTTATTAGCTTTTCTTTTAATTAAGTAAGAAAGGTATTAATATAAAAAAGAGTTAATTATTAAAGACTAGCCTTAGGGTATTTATAGATAGGTATTATAATAGTATTAACTCTCTTATAGAGTAAAAAAGGAGGAAAAGCTAGTCTATCTATCTATTATAGTATATAAAAGGGGTATACTAGGGGTGCGCCTATAGTAGCCTTAGGCTAAGTCTAGCTAGAGTAGGCTTAAGCCTAACTTCTTTATAAGGGGGCCCCTTATAGGTATAACTAGATAATAATTATACTAGTATTATTATTATAAATCCTTTTAGCCTTATAGTTAAGAAGGTTATAGCTATAAGGCTACTAATAGTTATAAGGCTAGTTACCTTTAAAACCCCTCTAAGGCTAGCCTATTATATATAATAATACTACCTAGGGTTATAGGTTTAAACTATAGTATATATAGTTATATAAAAAGGGCTAGTATATATAGTTTAACCTAGGCTTATTGTTAAGGACTAGCCTTAGGGTATTTATAGATAGGTGTTATAATAGTATTAACTCTCTTATAAAGTAAGAGAGGAGGGAAAGCTAGTCTATCTATCTGCTCTAGCATATAAAGGGGGCATACTAGGGGCGCGCCTATAGTAGCCTTAGGCTAAGCCTAGTCCGGAGTAGGCCCGAGCCCGACTCCTTCACACTTATAGGCTATATATTAGAGCCTAGGGGGTTTATAGCCTATCTATAGGCGCGCTAGGGAGAGAGAGGGTATGTTAAGGGCTGGGCTATAGAGCCCGCCCTGGTCCTTCTAGAGTGGCTAGCGCGGAGCCCCTAGGGGGCCCCTTATAGGTGCAACTAGATAATAATCGTGCTAGTATTATTATTATGAATCCTTTTGGCCTTATAGTCGAGAGGGTTGTGGCCGTAAGGCTACTAACAGCTATGGGGCTGGTTGCCCCTAAAGCCCCTCTAGGGCCAGCCTGTCATAATATATATACAAATATTTTCTATAAATCATAATAATAATATCTGCTATATTTTCTTGTTTAGTACTATTAGTTTTATAGTCTTATATTCCTTATATTATCAACTTTACTATATTAGGCACTAGCACCGCCCCTTGAAAAAGACATGTTAAATACTATCCAGAGCACCAAGGCATCCGAGTCCGAGGAGAATGGTCCGGTTGCTAACTGTCGAGGGCATTCAACACGGCAGTGTCTTTTTCCTAGTTGTGCTTTCTGTTTTGTTCTTGTATCCTAGTTTCAGTTTGTGCTGTGGAGTGCTGTGGAGTGCTGTTGTTGTGAGGTCTCTTTGCTTGCGGTAGAAACCTGTACTATTATCTCGGTCTTGTGCTTTATCCAAATGTAGAACTGGGCTGGGCAGTAGTTAGTCAGCTGGCGGCAGTTCCCCGGACTGAAAAAGGAAACGGGCGATCCTCCAAATTATATTCATGCCGTTCGTCTCGGTGGCGGTAGCCCGCTCCCCGCCGCGACCCGGCTAGTGGCCCGCTCTGCGCTCTGCCAGCCTCACAAATCTCATCAATGACACCCAACTGCACAACAACACGACTAGCGACTGGCAACAACATCCATCTACGTCATCTACGTCAATCCCAGCACGTGCTCTCTGATCTTGCGCATCTTTTCCGATCGAGGCATTGACCCTGACCATCTCTCACCATCGTCTCACCGTCACCTCACCTGCGCGCGACGCGACGGCTCACAGCACGCCGACATGCTGGCTTCGCGCCTGCGGTGCACGCAACACACGCAACCTACACAACATACATAATAACTACAAACCCGAAATACGATCATGGAAAACAAGAAACCTGGGCCAGCCGTGCGCGGTCTGGTCGTGCAGCAACATAACCGCAAACCTCTCTTTGGCAACACGAGGCAAACGGCGACGGCGCCCGCGCCCCCGCACGAAACGAGAATACCGCCTTTGTCGCGGTCCAAGTCGAGCCCTGCCACCCATGATATTCCCGGCCCTGCGTCCCCTGCAACACCCGGCGGTTCCCGCATACCGCGCTTCGGCAGCAGGAAGGCCTTGTCGCTCACCGAGGCGTTCGATCGCGCGGCCAAAGAGGAAAGCAACGCCCGCCCAGGCCAAATCGACGGCTCTCCTAGCCCGGCACCGCGATCCTGGCGCAAGCGACAAGACGACGCAATGCGCATGGCCCTGAATGAGGACCCCCTCGACAAACTCGCCGTGTCGCCAAACAAGGAGCGCATCGCGATGCGAAACCGCGTCGACGATGGCATTGCCCCAACGCGAACAAGCCGTTGGGTGCTGGAAGAGGGCATGCGCGACGCCGACGCTCTCCTCCCCTCCACGGAGAATGTGGCGCCGGGGCTTGAGGCTTCGCCGGAAAAAAGCTACGCCTGGCAGGTAGACGAGGACTTTACCGCGGGTGACTTGCAAGTGTCCGACAGCCCACGAATACGAGTCAACCAACCACCGTTTACAAAGGCGGCACGATCCGAGTCGCCGCGGAAAGGCACTACGCCCAACACGAAGCTCGACGAGATAAGGGCCCGCGAGCTGGGGCTGACGCCAAATGTGGCCAGTGCAAGGAAATCGACAAAGCTAGACGACATTCGACTACGGGAAGAGGAGGCCGATAAAAGAGTTCCCTTGCTGGATAGTGGATTTCCGCGCATTGGCGGATTTACCAAGCTCGACGAGATCAAGCAGCTAGAATTGCAAGGGCTGTCGAAGCGGGCTGCTGCCCAGGCCAAGCTCGCGGAGATTAAAGAGCGCAACGCCATGACAAGATCAGTCTCACCTGACTTTCCGCGGAGAAACTGGCCCGGCCGTGGGGCAGACATCCCGCGCGCGAAGTCGGTTTTTGAACCTGTTGGACGCCAAGTGCCCGACACGCCGGTCACCATTTACAAGTCGGAAGCTGAGAGAAGAGCCGACGACGCGCAGCGGGCGGCCGCGAGAAAGACGGAAGAAAAGGGAAAGGAAAAGGAAACCAAAACCAAGGCAGCAAACCGCGGTGTAAACGGACTGTCCCCGGACAAGCGCGACCAGTCACGCGAGTTGCTGCGCAAGCTTGCCCGCGCCGCAAGCGCCAGTCCAGCTCCCGAACGAGCACGCGATGAGACACACAAGAATACCTCTGTTCCTCCCAAGCCCGAGGCCCCCCGTGCCAGCTCCCTGAAGCGCTCCGCCCTCGCCGACGGCAGCCGGCGGCCGTCAAATACATCGTCCAACGCCTCCAAAAGTGCGTCCTTGGAGCGCCCGACGGTAGGCTTTGCCGGGCTCGCGCGCTCACGGTCCAGCGACTCGCGCAAGAGCAAGCGCTCCAGCGTGCACTCGGAACAGGACCCGACGGATCGGATCGAGGCCGAGGAGAGGCTATTTGAGGCAGCGGATAATTACTCCGAGTACGGCTCGGTGCGCGCACCGTCGCCGTCAGCGGACGAGGAGGAGAGGAATGATAACGATGCGACGCCGAAACAGCCCAGCAAGCAGGATATCCTGTCGATGCCCACGCCGCGTGCGCCAGGGGCGTTTGTGGACACGCCTGTTACAATTAAACAGGAGGACCGCGGCGGCCGGCGGAGACTAAGCTTGGATCAGTCACCGGATATCAAGCCGGACCTGGCGTTTCGCAATGGGAAGCCGGATCTGGCCCGGGGCAGTAAAGATGCCAACGCAGCGTCGGGCGAAAAGGTCAAACCCGTGTCGGACTTGGCCCTGTGCAGCGACGATGTCGAAACGGCGTCGGACCCCGGCACGGCCCAGGAGAAGCCCGTGAGACGGCGCCGGCTGAGCCTGCCTAGAAGGCAGCCGCTCACCAACTCGGCCAAGCTGCCGTCGGTGCGCGACGATCTGCGCGAGATTCAGCGCGCGCACAATATCAGAGACGGCACGCTGGATAATCTCGAGGATATTCTACTGGGCAAGAAGACGACGAATGAGGAGCTGGACCTGCTGCTCCAACAATATCCGGTAGTGGCAGACGTGGAACTAAAACGTGAGCCCAAAGGAAGCGTGGACGAGATCACGTTGAAAACAGAGCTGCAACGCAACGTCGACGCAGCGCTGGATGACGAGCTAGCCGCGTATGAAGCGCTGAGTGCCTCTGTCGAGCGCGATCTAGGAGTGCAAAAGGACGGCACGAAACAGACGCTGCCGAGCCAAACGAGTCAACCCGACAAGATGCAACCCATCGAGGCGCCACCGGGCCAAACGAACCGACCAGCCGAAAAGACGCATCCCATCGAAGAAAAGCTGCGCAAGAACCAAAAGCAGCCAGAAGACGAGGACACCAAACCCACGAAACAAACCACCCACCTCCACATCATGGACGAAAAACACAACGCCGCCACCTGCCCGCTGTGCGTCATCCCGGTGCCTCGCTCCGTCACGTACCTGCACCTGCCCCTGCCACGTCTCTTCCACGTCTCGCCGCGCCCGCGCCTGACGCTCCTCGGATTCCTCCTGTGTGCGCTGGCGGTGTGGTGCGCCGCCGAGACGGCCATGTGCGGGCTGTACTGCCGCCCGGCGACGTGTGCGGGCCCGTGCGTGTGGTCCTTTGACGACCCCGCGGGCTTTGGCGCGGCGCTGCCCATCAAGCTGGACCAGTGGACGACGGGCGGCCGCGGGCGCGCGGCGTGGGCGGCGCTCCGAGAGGATGTGCTCGACGGGCTGGATGGCCTGTGGGGCGTGGGGGATGTGCGGCACATGACACCGGCGCAGCGGAGGCGGCATCGCAGGCGGTTAGGCAGGGGAAAGGGCATGAGTGAGGAACAGAGGGCAAAGGCGGATGCGTGGCGGAGAGAACGCGAGGCGGGACAGAGGGGAGGTAGGGAGGAGGAGGCTGTGGGAGACGATGAGAGAGTGTGGTAGATGCAGGATGTACTGCAGGAACGGCACTGCTCGGATTGCATATTGTTGAATTTGTTATAAAGAGACTCTTTGAATCTGTCAGAGTAGCAGTGGCATTTACGGCAGGCACAAGACAAGCACGGACAAGAATCAACCATAATTTTGTTCATTTTTGCAGCGTCCATGCATGCTGTATATTACATTTCCCATTTTCAACACCCAAACTCCAAAAAAACAATGCAGTCCCTCTGTCTTCTAATCATCAATCCCGCCCCATCCCTCATCCTCATCCTCATCCTCCTCGCCCTCCTCGTCCTCCTCCATCGGCCTGGCCGCCCACGGGAGCCTCTCATCCTCATAGCTCTCCTTCGCCCTCTCCCTCACAACCCTTGTGCCATTTCTCCGCAGCGCCTCCACCAAGTCGCCCATCTCGCGGACCCAAGCCTTGTTCTTCTCCTCGGCCAGCACGCCCTCCCGCTCCAGCTCGTCGACCCATATATCCAGGACATGCAGCTTGAGCCCGAGCGGCAGGACGCCGAGCCCCGCATCGCCGCCGTCGCCGTCAAACACGTACTCCCTGCAGACGGCGAGCACGACAGCACTCTCCGCGCGCGCCGCGTACCGCACCATGGCGGCCCACACACGGCGCACCAGCAGCAGGAACTTGTCGAGCCGCAGCGCCTCGATGCTCGTCCACTGCGCGCCGAGCACGTGCCAGAACGCGCGCAGCCAGGGGCCGACGACGCACGGCGCGCGCAGCGCCAACACCAGCCCCGCCAGGTCCGCCGCCAGCGCCTGCTGCGGCTTCGGACGGTCCGTCATCCACAGCGCGTAGTACAGCCCGGTCCAGAGCTTGCGCGCGTCCCCGTCGGACAGCGACCGGCGCCCGGCGAGGAACGCCGTGAGGGCTTCGAGGGAAGAGGTTCGCAGCTTGCGGTCTGCGCGGGGGGGAAGGGTTAGCGGGGAGGGGAGAGGCGGAGCGGGGATGGGGAGACGGACCGCTGGAGGCGAGGTTCTTGATAAAGGGCATGGAAGCCGCTTCTTGCCCGGCGCGCGCAGTCATTGCTGCGGTTGTGGGTGGGTGGTTGGGTTTGGTGTGGTTGTTGGTCATGGTTGGCTCAACTTTTTTTTTTGGAGTTGAAAAAAAAATACAAGGTGAGCTCTCGAGGGACCCGCTTATCTCGGTGTGGCGGCCTGGTCAAGATGTCACCCAGTAATTGACTTGTCCTGGTCTACCCTCTCGTCTTGACGCGTCCACATCAACTCTACCTATTTCTTTTTCTCTCGTTTATTTCTGTTTCTTTGTTCGACTATGTTTGACGCAGGCTATTTTGTCCCACCCTTTTACGTGGGGTCCTGTATTGGTGGTAAGCGAGCCTACAGCAGGTGAAAAAAGAAATTGCCGGACAGATAGTATGCACTTATTAACAGGGTCGAGAAGAAAGAGAAGAAAAATAACTAGAACAAGAAATGTTATGACGGATAGGCCACGTCTTCTGTCACTTGTGTGTGTCGGAATTTCCAGGCTTGCAGTACCAATGGGCTTATTAGTCTCGTTGATATGCGGGCGGGTGGGCAACAGCCTTCTATCATACTGTCATTTAATTTAAGTACAGACAGTAAGATATAATTCCTTAATCGCTTGTTTGCTGCTGCAAAATGATAACATTGCGCTTATCTAGACTTAGCATAGCTTCACGACGGCCCGTCGGTCACGGGTCTCGGTTCTCTGCTGTCGGGTGCGGCGAGGCAACACGCGGAGCAGTGATCGCGGCGGGCCTCACGCTGCCGGGCGTGGTGGGCGAGGCGAAGGGTACCTATTGGAGGTGTACGAAGCTCTTATTAATGGATGAAGATGAATAGGTACGATTGCACAGAGTTGACGCACTAATCTGGTACGCCGCGGTAGTGCTCGGTAAAGTAATAGATAGCCAGGTCCTGCCACAAATCTTTTATAAATCTTTCAAAAAAATTACCACGTAGTTCAGGCCTCCATGTATTAGCGAGACACTGATACCCTACCTAGGTATCTAAGTCACAGCTTTTTATCGACCCTCAGCCACCACGCGACCATGGCTGCTCAAGAATATCATGAATCAATGAAGCATGGGTCAATAAATCAATGATACAACGCAATCACCTACTGAATAAGCATACGAAAATTCAATCAATAGCAATCATAATCTATTATGGGTATCGCCTCATCCCTATTCAAACAAGATAACACCGTCGCCGTCTATACTGGCAGTGCAAACAAATAAAAGTATATAGTCGTCATCGTACAGTGTACCCAGACACCAGATAAAAATATGTACCAGAAAGCCTCAAATCTCTGGCTGGACACGCTTCTTCTTGCCAAACAGCGTCCCCCGCCGCACCACCGACCCTGTCTCTTCTGACTGGCCGTTGTTCACCGTCTGACTGTGCTGCTCGCGGTCCTTTTTCGCCTTGTCCCGCCGCTCTCGTCGCTTGTCGTCAATCACGTCTTGATTTAAGTGGTTGAACCCGTTGCGCCTCTTGAAGCACTGCTCCATCAACAGGTTGGCGTCCAGCATCTTTCTCGGTAGCGCCTGCACTACGCCAAACATTTCCATCGGGTCCGAAATGGATTTGATTTCAGCCTCGCCATGTTTGAAAATGGCCAGGGCCACCCGAAATAGCGTCTTGGAGCCCTCGTAGAAGAAAACATCCCATACGCGCAGCGTTGTTTCAATGGGTAGCGTGCCAATAAAACAGCTCATGAACCACGCCGTCATGCACAACGTAATCGGAGGTAGGCGATCTGTTGAAAGACTGGGATGACCACGATGGCGCGACTTGCCCAGTGGTCGTCGAAGTGAACGGGTGGGCGTTGGCTTAAAATTGGTCTGCTCCTCCAATTCACCACCAATCCGGTCCCAAACCTCGGGCATTGTGTCGCGAATTTCGGCCATGAGCACGCCTAGGTCCACTTTGGAGCCTTCCAGGCTCATCTCGTGCGTGCCGGGAAGGTAAATATGTGTGATGACGTTGAGGAGCCAAAAGCATTGCTCCTCCGTCTCGACGAATAAAAGCAGCAAACCTGCCAAGAAATTCAGGCTCTGGCAGTATCCGATACGGGGGTTATAAATGGAAAATGCGTGCAAGACGCGACGTAAAGAGGTAATAATGGGGGGCTCGCCGGGTACCGCGCGGGCGCTGCACTCGCTCGACTCGTCGCTTGTCAGCGTGGACTGGCTTTGTCGCTCGCTGCTCGAGGTCGACCCGTCATAGCCGGTCGGTGAGGGTTTGAATTGAATGTTGTCAGGAAATGTGCGGTGCAGGTCTCGCTCAATGGCGTCGACATCAATCTGCTTTGCGTGGGCGGTAAGCAGCTTCTCATACAGCCCGGAGTGCTTGGACAGAATAGCCGGACCACCAGCATAGTAAAACCAGGCGGCGCCGCGCCAATCTGGGGGAAAGCCTTTGCGGACAAATCGCTTCGTTTTTGCATTGGGCGGGGGAAAGCGGATGGGCCGGTCCGTCATCAGAGAATTGTCTTTGAGATGAGCGATCCATTTGCGGCGGCGACGGGCCAAGTATGGTGAATAACTCTTGTTCCAGTCGTCGTACTGTTCGCGCGTGATGGAGTGATTCTGCTTCTTGAAGCCGTAGCGGTCGCGTGAGCCAGGTTCTTCAATCTCGGCATATGACGGTGTGGGTGCTGGAGGTGGTGTGTGGGAAACAGAGTTTTGTTGTGAATCTGTGTCAGTCATGGGGGAGACGGGCATTTCGTTGAAATCGGATGTGGCGGGACGAGATGATACTGAGGGGTCGGAGCCAATTGACTTGGCTGAGTCTCTCTTCTCGACTTGTTCCTTCATGTTGTCGCCGGCAACAGCAGGCAGCATTGATGTAAAGGCTGGATTGGAAAAGAGCATCTTGGATTGGCGGATTTCGGCATCCAAGGCGGTCGGTGCAGGGCGGGCGCCAGAGCGGGCAGCAGGGCGGGGAGGGCTGAGACTATCAGCGTCTTCAAAACGAGCAACGGCTGGACCCGTTTCCGAGAGCGTGGTCAGCTGTCGATAGATGCGAGGCAAGTCGTCCGAGTCAGTGGCGTCGCCCTCGTCGTCCGTGTCATCTTTGAAACCTCTCTCGTACATGCCCATGACATCTTCGATGCTGGGCTCGTCGGGTTCTGCGTCTGCATTGGCGTATAGGGAGCTGACTGAGCTGTCCTTGGTCATGACGCTGCTGCGCTCGGTCACAGCAGTGCCGGGGGCTGTGGAGGCTGTTAGCTGGGACCTGAAACTGGACCGCAGCTCGTCCCCACCAGCCCAAGGAGCGCCACCAGAGCCGCCAACCGGTGCTGGAGGCGCCGAGACGGACGAGTCTGCACGACTATAAGTAGCAAAAGGCGGCCTACTAGGCGCCTGTACTGTCATTGAAACTGGCGGGCCGTTGGAGTGGGGAGCGGTGCGTAGGCGAGGAGACGGAGGTGCGGATAAGTCAAAGGTATTGGCGACTAGTGGAGAAGCAAAAGTATACGTCGAAATCACTGAAGCGTTGGACTGAGTACGAGACCGTGGAGGCTGCCATGGCGAGGCGACGCGGTCTTGGTTGAGTTGAGGTGAGGGTTCTCGTGGTGCGGGAAGCCTGGGTTGCACAAGCTGCTTGATGCTCGGCTTTCGAGGTCTGGAGAAGTTGCCGACGGAACCTGAGGATTGGCGCATGTCGGCAGTGGACGACTGAGCAGAGACTATTCGACCCGGCGAGGGAAGGGGATCGTCAAATGGCATGCGAGGGAATTCTTCTCGAAAGGTTGGCGAGAGAGGTGGTTTTGGCTCTTCTGAAGCGTCGTAGAAGACGTCTCTGGGGAAAGACTCGGCGGTTGGGCTGACAGCCATCAGGTGAGGCCCATTCTGGAGAGAGTCCCAGCGAGGCAAAATAGGCACGGCCTGTGGAAGTGGCGGCGCTTCGATGGAACTATGGTCGTCGGGTTTGATCCGGTTGGCGTAGAGAGAGAATTGCCTGTTTTTGGCAGGCCTGGTGTCCTCGACGGGCGAAACGGGCGTGTCGATGGGCGAGACGGCCATGTCGGTCATGCTGGGAGCCCAGCTCCGTCTGGATACCGGGCTCGATATTGGTAAAGTGAAGGAGGCCTGTCTGATCTCGGCAAGCTACTGCACGTCGGATTGCTATAGTGGCATTGTAGGTGAGCGTCGTGCGTCGCGTTAATCGAGTCGGACGAGTTTGCAGGGCGTATGGTGAGCCGAGTGGCAAAGGACGAGGTAGCACAATGCAAGATGCAGCGAAAAGGGAAGATGATGCAAGTCGAAAACGGCAGAGGGCGCGTGATGGCGGTGGTTGGCGACTCGGGAATGCGGCTACAAAGGAACGTAAAAGGAGGGTTCGAGGGATGGCGTGTGCAGAAATGTTGCGGGAGGAGAAATTTTGATTAGACAAACGTCATGCAAAGGAGAAAGAGTAGCCGGGAGCCGGGGTGTGTCGTTGGGCGGCCAGGAGATGAGGACCATCCACAAGGACGAGCAAAGGGAGGCAAAGAGGTAGTTAAAAAGCACGTCGAGTGTGGGGGAAAAGAAAGGTGTGGTTATCGAGATGGTCTTGCAGCTGCAGGCGGTCGGGTATTTTGGTATTTTCTGGCGATGAAAAGCGCTGGGCCGAGTCCTGGTTGGATGGTGAGGATGGAGATGGGCGGGGAGGCGGATGGAGAAGGAGGTTAGGCTGCGTCGGGCTGGATTGTGTCTACCTAGGTACTGTCGCATATTTCAGCGAGCGTAGCGCTGTATTTTTGGTGGATGAGCACTATAATTCAGTGCATAAGCGCTATAATGTCATTGATATGCGCTATATTTTAGCGCAAGTCTCCTCCTGTATAGCACTCTTGCGTTGGTAATTTGTACTAATGCTTTACTGACCTGTCCGCTATATCCAGGCACGCGACCCTGACACGACTCATCTTCCCGCACCGCGCCTGGTCAGGCTCGATACAAACAAAGGGAGACTGAGTCAAGATGAAGATGTTTGTTCATGCCCCTATAAATAAACGTCATCGATGATAGACGTGTCGAGTCTCAGGCTCACACCATCATGCAGTCTTCTGCCTTGATCACCAGCATTGTCGCTCCAACTCTCTCATCACGGCCGCCTGAGTCGTCACAAAAGCTAATGGTCAATATTTGCTGCAATAGCACTAGCGTCGCCCATCGTGCCACTGGCCGAAAGCTTAAACTGCAAATCGCTATTCAGCTTCGCAAGCGTACCAGGTGTCTCCCTGACCTCGCCTGTGACAGGTCAAAGGAAAGACAACCCCCAAATCTCCTCAATTGCCTCGAACAGAAGCCGCAAAAAGCACCCGCGGTGGCCAAGCAAGTAACTAAGCGAGGTGTTGCATCTGGTCTCTTGTCTCTGATCAGCCACCGCAGAAGCCGCAGACAAGGTTCCCGTCTGCCCACACCACCCCTGTTTGGGTCCCCTGTCCTGCTGTCATGGGCTGCAGGGGTCCTTTCTCCCTTGCCTAGTATGTACATGCAATTGTTAGTTACAGTCTTGAGCCAAAGCCCAAGATGATCCAGTCGAGTTGGCCCGCGGATCCGGCAAGCAGGGCGAGCGGCCTAGCCTCTTCAAGCTGCAACTCGGGCAAAGACACTTCGAGCCTCATCAACTCGACATCAAACTCATCATTTCTCACCATATGGCCAGTACTCGTGCACATCGCACCATGGATGCAGGCACGCCGCCAGCAATGCACGCCGTGCCTGACCGTTCCCCGCAGTACGCAAACTCGACAACAGCCACACAACTCAGGAATGACCTGTGCCCGCTAGCGAAATCTACCGTACAACTTCAGTTCGCTGAATGCTTTTGTATGCAACCTTGCGGTGACTTGGCGGGGACGCTTATGCACGATCCGATGCACGGCGTTGACCCCTTGTCTGCTGGGCTTTGCGATGCAAATGAACACTTGGGATTAAAATTAAAGGCCATGTCTCTGACCATCGTAAGAGGCGGCTGATCTCGCCACAACAAAAAGCAACGGAGGAAGCGCTGGTTCAGCTTCTCCGGTTCCCCCATTAGGCAGGTTGGTCCCGGAAACCCGACGGCGTCCAGCTAGGAGTCTAGGACGGCTGCTAGTTTCTCTTCCGCTGGTCCGCTGGAGTCGTCGCTAGCTATGAATGAGCCTCGTCTTGCAACTGGGCTGACTTGGTTCGTGTCCGTGACAGTAGTTAATGTATACAGGTAGTTACTAACTCAACCAACAAGGCAGCCAAGGCAGCTGGTATGGTCAGCTTCTGACGGTCGATTTATGCCCAGAGCTGACAATATGTGCAACGAACGACATTGCTAATTCCAACAATAAACCCTCGTATGTTGTTGATGAATCGTCTCATCAAGAGCATTCCAGTCCCATCCCACAACAAGTGGCGCTGTGATCAACTTAACTCACAAGAAGGCATTTTCAGTCGAATTCTCTTGAGGACTCGTGTTGAGTTTTGTTCTTTTTCGTTGCGTAAAACTGTAAAACGTGTAAAAAGTACCTATCAAGTCCTTTCCTCCGCCCCCGGTTTGCGGCAAATAAGTTGCAGCTTCTGTGCGCTGTTCCCTGTCCGCCACCACCACACCATCCTCAGCCCTCTGCCCGGCGCACAGCCGTCTTTTGCTTTTTTTCATTGTTCCGGATAAAGACAAGAGGTTTGCTTTTTCATGACAAGGATGCTGCCATGTCGGCTGCAGTGACACACGCGCTGTCGCAACAGTTGAGACTGTTGACTGATTGACTGAGAGTACTCCGTACAGTACAGACAATAGTTACAAGACGATAACTCAATCTCAAGCCGTTTTCACAACTGGCAATTTCCCTCTTATCCGCTACACATGCCAACGGGCTGGCACCCGGCGTACAAGGCTCACCCCTGCTCTTTCTGACACTCCCGTCCCGGTAACCAGCCGCTTCCCCCAAATTAAACGGCCGGGATAATGTAGTCTTCTGCGCGGAGGGCAGGCAGTGGTACAACGGGATCCAGCCCCAGCCGCTTCCCTGTTAGCCTCAAATGGGTCCCAGACGCGCTGCAAATTCTGCTCGTTCAAACGCAGCGCAGCGTACCTGCGCATCTCCTTGCAGTTATACACGGTAATTAGTTTGCATACTGCTTCGCCGTTCGTCTAGAGATGCACAGACCAAACCTCTGCGTTAATTACCTTCACACCCCTTGTTTCGTTCTCCGCATATCCTTACTCTTCTCGCCAGAGGCCGATTTGTTTTCAGCCTCGGGCTTTCCGACCGTCTGGTTTAGCGCATCGACTCGCGTTCAGCTATCGACCAGGGCGCCATACTACAGCAAGGGACATTTGTTCTAGCCTGCTTCCACGAAACAAGTCGTTTCTTCGTAAGTAAGCAAGCAATAATAAATACGAGTCCGGGGCGGACCCCATAGTGCGGAAATGCAGTTCTCGCCTTCGTCGTTCGTGATCAACGTTTGGCGAGTTTCATGTTTATTTGCACTGCACAACAGGACTCGCTATTATACATGCGGCGAAGATATGAGGGGTCCCATGCTCTATTGATAATTGGCATTGCCCATTGGACACCGAGTGACAAGCTATTTTTGGAGCAAAACATTGGCAGCTCCAGTCATGTCCGCGGACCCATGACTATATAATACAATCTGTATCATCACTGACGACCTGAGCCCCTGCGTTGTGCTTTGAAGGGACCACGCGCAACCTGTTGGCGTCAGTATGAATGACTCGAGAATGGTTGACATCATCAAAGCGAGCAGCTATCAACCGCACAGGACCCTCTTGACAACAACGTTGACTTTGCTGTTTCCTCGGGCTTTGCGGTTCCGTAATTGCCGCCCCTTCTATACACTTCGTTATTGCTCGCTGATCAGGCCAATGACGGCGTCGTAGTAGTCAGTCTTTAATCAATATACTCACACAGAAAATCATAAAAATTATACTACCAAACTATCGATATCTGACTGGTGGTCTGCGCAGGAATCGAGTCCGGCGAAATGTTGGGGTACGGGCAACAACGCTCGATAGCCAACCTTACCTCCATATCCTGGACCGCCGAGAAGATAACTGTCTAGCTCGTTCCAGAGTTGTAGTGAGAATCTACTTATTCACATTGGCGATAACCTTTGCAGCCCTCACGGACAACATGTTCCGCATGTACGCCACCTTGTTTGTTCCTTGCGAGGGAAAATATCCAGACCCCCATATCGTACGTGGTCTGGGAATTGTCACTGTATATTTCGCCGTAGAAACAGACTTTGTTGGAGCCGCTGGCGAGCGTTGCCGCGCTCGTCACATTCTGCGAGAACAGCGATGCAGGGTAGTAGTTGGTTTCACCCACGAGCTGGAGAAGGTTGAACGTCGGCGTCGTGAGTTTCCATTCGATCACCTTGTATTCGAAGTCAATATGTAACAGCACCGCAACGACTCTCAGGGATGTTTTGTAGTTATAGTACGGGGAGACAATGTATAGCATTGCAGCTCGAAAACGGAAAATGGACTGCGAGATAACCACTATATCAAATACTTTTAATTATGAAAAATGGGCTGTTAATTGAGATATAAAAGCAATTTACTTTTGAATTAAGATTAAATACTAAAGACATACTAATGAAAGGTGATCCCCCCAACCATAAATCGACAAGAAAGGAGGGAGAAAAGAGACGAGATCCTGCCTGATTCAATTGTTATTAACGAAAGCCACAGCCCTAATCAGACTTGGAAAAAGCAAAGGGATCCTAGCTCTTTTTGGTAATGCTCTGCTATGCGGAGAACCCTTGGAACATATTACCTTTGTTGTTTCAAGTTGTAGCGAGATTATAGGTTTCGGCGGCAAGGAAGATAGGTCTCCAGCCAAAGGCAACGCCCTCGCACCCGCTATCCGAGCTTTCCGACCATTTGGTGCAAAATATGCTGGACAGAGCATAGCCGGTGCGATTGACGGCCACCGAGCCCTTGGTGTGGTCGACTTTGTTCTTCTTCTTCTTCTCCTCCTCCTTCTTCTTTGACGGCGTCATGGCGTGGAGGCGCGATCCATAGGGTCCGTATGACTGGGAATCGTTCGTCCGATAGTTGTAGGTATCGAACCTGAGAGTGCCGATCTTGTCGCCCCAGGTCAGGTCGACATTATGAACGAGTTGGCCGGGCGCGAGCTCGATGAGGTTGGGGATGCCTTTGGTCGTGGAGCCCGTGTGCATGTTCCAGAACATGCCCGCCCTCGTCTGCAGGCCGTCAATGTTTACGCTGCTGCGCACAAGGATGGACGTCAGGTTTCCGCTGCGGTCCGTCAGGGGCGGCTCCCGATCTTTGCTCCATGTGACCCAGTCCGAGCCGAGCGCGTACGGCCCCGAGAAGATTTCGCGGTCCGCCCGACGGAACACTTCGGGCGGCACCTGGAACTCGCCCGTGAGGTAGGGCCAGTACTCGGAGTAGGACAGAGCGTACTGCGTCAGAATGGCATCGTAGTCGGCGAACCTGCGCAGTTCTGCGGCGAGCTTGTGGCCGTTCAGCTTTTCTTTTCGCTTTCGCCTGGGCACCAGCGTGCGGCCGTGCCGGTATATCCTGTGTACGTAGGTCGGGTAGTCTTCGTATTCGCCGTCGCGGATAGACAAGACCTGACGAGACGCGACACTCATCGTCGAATACGCGTCCTTCCATGACCCTATCAAGGTATCGGACAACCCCTCAGACTCGCCCTTCTCGATGGCATCCAAGAGCAGTCGCATCTGCAATGCCTCTCCGATACCTCGTTGGATTCTCTTGCTGTTCCTAGTCTCGATGGCGCGTGAGTGTACCGTGTTGTTGCCAAGCCCAATGGCTCGTGCGACTACCGTGCTGTTGCCAAACCTAACGGCTCGTGCGACTACCGTGCTATTGCCAGACTGAGTGACGTTTCGTGGGATGGCAGGAACCCGGGTACCCAAGCCTGTCACGCGGTTGAACTCGACCCTGATGACATTGTCGATGTATTCCTGTGGAAACCCCCATGATTTACCATGAGCGATGCCCACGCCGAGCAAGATGACGTGTATATTGGCAGTAGCGGCAAACTCGAAAAGGCCCGCCACAGCGTAGTCGTCAATCTTGCAGTGATGTATGTTCGATCGTAGAACCGTGATCATTGAATTGTAAGAACTCAGGAGAACCGTGCCCTGGATTTTCTTAGCCTCGCCCGTTGCATTGCTATAGCTCTGCCAGGCATTCTTGAAGAAGTGCAGGTTCTCCTCTTGGCCTGCCCGGAGGTGTTGGAGAACTTTTAGCTGATGTGCCTCAAGTTTCTGTTTAATCATTGCCTCAACTTTTGCGCGAACATTTCTCCATTCAAAGTCGCTGTCGAAGATACGTATGATCTTGGAGATAATGCGAAATAAGGTGGCCTCAAGCCAGTAAACCCCGGCATCATGGGGTTGCACTACTAGAAAAAAATTCAACACCACCATGGCCATCGTAATACAAGCCATGATGAGTTCGGCTTGCTCTGCCTTGTTTAGACCAGGGCTCTTGGCTTCCTGGGTGATCATGGCCACCAATTGGCGGGTGACCTCCTCGTTAACTGGCTTCATTTTGGCGAAAACAAGGATAATTGGCGAGCGAGCAGGGTTTGATATCGAGTAGTTTCATGTAAACTATCCCTGATAGAGACGATAGATTGGTAGATGGGTAAACGCGGGCATGAGTTTGAGGAGTGTGATGGGTGAACAGGTGGTGGAGCTGGCAGCATTTATACCACTCGGCGTCCGCGCTAAGGTTGCGTCGGGAAGGTTGAATGATCCAGAGAGAGGGCAAGGATGTCTATTATGCCGAAAGAACAAATATCAGCTCAAGAGAACCGAGAAGAGCAGCTCCTACGCACAAAGACCAACACGGCCAAAGCTGACGGGCCGCTTGGCAACTCACCGGAGAATACGCAACCTTGACAAGGACCAGCGCGCCAACACTGACCTGGTGAGGGCAAAAGATTCCGCCTTCTCTCAGGAAGTATCATTGCTTTGCGGGTCGCTTAAGAAAAACAGAGAGAGGCGAGGAAAAAGAGAAGCTCGCAGCGACGGCGGACCCTGAAACTGCCGAGGAAACGGTACATAACGCTACCGCCCTAGAAAAAGACAGTTTCGGCTAGACGAGGGCAGCCAAAGTCTGAATTCTGCCCTGCCAACTCTGAATTCGGCCCTGCCCACTGGGCTGTTTGCTGTGGGATGAAACTCTAGCAACAAGGCTGTGCTTGCCTAGGCTCTCAGCAAGAAAAGGTCGACAAAGAGCCGAATGGGTTGTCTCTTGAATCACACGACTAGATGATGCGTCTATACTTCCCAAGAGCCCAATAGAACCAGTCTCTTGAATCACACCTAGGTGATTCTGGATGCATCTATATTTCCCAGGAGCCGAATAGAATCAGTCTCCTGAATCACACGACTAGATAATTCTGGATGCGTCTATAGTTCCCCAAGAGTCGAATGGAATAAGTCTTTTGAGTCACACCACTAGATAATTCTGGATGCGTCTATATTTCCCGCAAGCTCGGCTTTGACCTCGCCACATGTTCTGGGTGGTTGGGCATCGCGTGAGCTTTCGCCGCGGGAACCCCCAGTACCCCGATGTGAGTTCCTAGCCTTGCACGTAAGTACAGTTTGTGCCAGATATCTTGACGCAGCTCTTCTTATTGTATATTGTCCTGGGCAGGGCACAGCTGCCTGGACAACTTTTGCTGGAGAGTTGACTTGCCATGTTCCTGGTTCAGCTGCACCACAAGCATGTCGCGGGAACCAGCCCTGCCATTGTCAAAAGCTCTAGTATATTTTGCTATTTTGAGCACGCAACAGAATGTAACTTGCGTAGTAGGAATTGAGTTTTCAAGAGGACGTCAACAAAAAGCTGTAGCTATGGAGCTATAGCTACAAAGCTGTAGAGATGAGCTACAAAGCTAGAGCTAGCTACGAAGCTATCGCCGCCACAAGGCAGTCTAGCTCTGCTGTTCCCATTGGACCCTCGGTCATGGTTGACATCACCATTTCTGGTTTCAAAAAGGCCACGTTTCGAATAGAGAATCTGGTCTGGAGAAGGGTTGACTCATCTCGATTGCAATATTCGCGCAAGTGGCTAGGGCTGGTCCTACCATCGAACGGTCCGAAACCTTGCTACCGAACGTATATAGCTCTCTTTAGGGATGGACAACAGGCAATGAAAGGCGGGTGGCTGGTATTAGTGTAGCTTCGATTCTATATTTTTCTTCTCTCTTGTTGCTTGCCGCAAGATGATGATGTCTTCTGTAAAATGGAGCCACCTATGTCGGTACAACTACTCAGGAAGCTACCTAGGCAATGTACACGGAATTTTCCGAGTTGTGACTGTTTGGCGACAATTGAAGGAGATGCCATGCAGCCAATGTCTGTTAACTTGGGTCTCAACAACTTGATTGTTGGAAAGCTCGGCCTAACCGCGGAAGCTACAGCTCCCAAGGTAAGTTGGCCCCTTGAGACTTTTCTGCTGAACTGCCACTTTTTCCATCCGTGCATGAAGGTTGATTTCCTTCACGCACTGCATGCCGCCAGCTCCAAGCCCGCTCACCCACCGACATGAGAGTTCTCGCGACACAGTGTATACCAGCCGAAAATCATCATTTTAGCAGAATGAATAGAGAGAGTATCTGATATACTTATATATATATACTTTTCAAAACAGATATGAACGTAATTCAATACTGTAATAATATATGTAGTATATATATATAAGACGAATAGTATGTCTAATATCGGGCTCTTTTTCGGAAAAAAAAAATCTTAGGGTAGTATCTCTAGAGTTAATAACTCTACCTTCTATCCACTGACTAAATATAGTTAAGAATATGACCGGATGTGGTGTTTCTACTGCACTGGCTGTATATACGTATTCGTACTGGAGCAAATCCAATGCACAAGCCCCACCAAGGCATGGCAACCTCCCCGAACTGTGTTTGTTTATGTTCGGGTTCTAGTCCGATCTGCATTGTCGAGGACAAAGCACATTCAAGGCGAGGCAGAATCTTACGCGCGCCGGAGCTGACAGTGGAGAGCTACGGCGCGACTTACGTCGTACAGATTGTCGCGGAATAGAGATGATTCGCCAGAGGAACTGCGGAGGCTGAAGCAGCCTCTCTTGGCATGAGATCAGCTTACGCCGATTATTCCCAGCCGCAGCTAAATGCCACGGGAGCTAACGAGCACGGCAAGGCTGAACAGCCTCATCCATTACCATCCTCCTGACATCTACTTCATCTAGCCACCGTCGCCACCCCATTGTACGCCGCAGCACCTGGCAGACAACGATCCAGGATGGCCACGCGTCTCCAGCAAGCGGAAGCCGAAGCCGACACGACGCGGCAAAAGCGATGGGCACCCAAGGTCCGCACAGGCTGTCAAACCTGCCGGTAGGTTTCGCCGAGCAATACCCCCCCTCTGGCCTCGGGTGTTGGGCTGACCGTTGACCATTCCTTCTTTGCGGACAGAGCTCGCCGGGTCAAGTGCGACGAGACGCAGCCGCGGTGCAAACGGTGCATCAAGAGGGGTCTCGCATGCCAGTACACGCTCCGGCACCAGCCGGTGACGCAGGTCCGGCCGCTGGCGCCGCTCGTGCAGGCCGATCCCCCGAGCTGGCACTACATGGAGGCTATCCGGTACTGTACGCTTGCTTGCTCGGTCGCGCGCCGCCGCGCCGTCCGCCCCCGGGTCCTGAACACAAACCGGCTCACAAGAATGCACACAGACTGCGCCTTTGTCCGGCCGGTCCGCGTGGCCCAGCACGGCGGCCACGACATCCAGGACCCGCCGTTCCACACGGGCGACGCCATGTCGGCGCGCTTCGTCTGCCAGATCATCGGGCACCGGGCGCTGACCGTTTCGCGCAGGCGCGGCCGGCTCGTGTCGTTTTGGGACGACGCGCAGTTTGCGTCGATGCGGAAAACGTACTCGCGCTACCTGATGGAGTTTCTCGCCATCGTGAACGGCTGTCTCCGCGACCGCGCCGGCGGCACCTGGAAGGCGTTCCACTACCTCTGGAGCCTGCTCTCGTTTGACCTCACGCTCAACGAGTCGCTGTGGGCGGCGCACGTCAACGGCGCGCTGGCGTATGCGCAGCTGCTTGGCGGGCCGATGGCGGCGCTGCGCCTGCCCGGACCAACTATTTTCTTTCGGCAGATGGTTCTGTAAGTTTCCTGTTCTTTCTTGTCGGCTCCGATGCTAGCAAAGAGTTAAAATTAGGATGTAAAAGCTAAACCCACCTTCTCCCCAGAAACGCAATTGTGAGCAATGCCACAAGTCCCGCGGCGAAGCAGATTACGGGCCATCTCGGCTACACGGACGAGGAGATCAGGGCTGTTCTTGCAGACGAGGATAGCATATGGCCTTTTCCGGTTGATCTGGTTGTGGTAACCAAGCACATTACCGAAGTACGAGTGCAGGCCGCTTTCCAGACCAAGAAGGCCGCCGTGTTGCAGCATCGCATGCAGCATCTCCTCCAAACGATCAACGCATTTGACCCCGATACGTGGGCAGCGGACCTTGCGATCGACAAAGGACCCACGACGCCAGCTATTGGACGCATCTTCCAAATCGCCACCCGACTCTACGGCATCATCGCCCTACCCGTCTCCGTCACGGCGGCGGCGCCCAAAGCCACGGACCCCGGTGTCGCTTCCAGAGACAGGCTGCGCGTCACGCAGCGCGCCGAGTTGCTAGCGCGTCTCCGGGACGTCTGGCCGTCCCTGCCGGACGCGGACAACATGGTGTGGCCGCTGCTGGTGGCCGGCGTGACCTTGACGGACGGACAGGCCGAGGACCGCGCGTTTGTGGTGGGCTGCCTGGACGGCATGTGGCGGAGAACCTTGGCCGACGTAGCGCCCCTGCTGGGCTTGGAGAAGCTGCGGCGCTTCTGGCAGTCGGGCAAGCGAGGCTGGGAGGACTGCTTTCATGAGCCTGTGCCGCGGTAGGGCGGGGGATGTTGAGCGCGGCCCATGGCGGGAGGGGTGTAGGTTCGAGCCATAGCCTAACAGTGATTTATTGACTGGATGTTGTTACTTTGATTGATCAAGAAAAAGTCCAAGGCATCTGAAAATGGGGGTTTTCAGGTTCACTTTGCCATGTGGTGAAGTCGAGAGTGTTTCTGAGCGCAAAGCTTTGACTTCGCTCGATCATCCAAGGCCAACCCAAGGTCGCACCAAGCAGACATCGCAACGTGCCAGCGTCTCGCCCTGGTCCGTGGTCTGACTTCTTTGTCCGCGAAACTTCAAAGACATGTAATGTGTATGACAGTCTCTCTGAAGCAGAACTTGTTTCAAGAGATATGCGTCATCAACCGTGAAGCTTAAGAAAGGAAAATATAAAAAAAGAAACCATAAGTAGTTCTATGTTATACTTCAATTATTTAATTAATGAAATTTATTTTAGATTTCTAAAGCTCATATTAGTAGAGCTATCGGGGCATAAAACCCAGGCATTATTAGTGCTGTTAGTACTCCTACGCGAAACTGTTGTCACCCACTGTAGTTCCGCCACTGCCGCCACCTCGCCATGCTGCAGGCTCGTAGCAACACAAAGGAGCACTGTCCTAGCTGTAATATGTCAATCTGGATATTTTGCTTCCAGGCGCAAGCTTCTTCCGATACTGCTTCTCTGGAAATACGCAAGCATCTAGCCCTACTTCTTGCGCTGCCATCACTCATTCGTGGAACCCAGGAAGCAGAGTTCCACGAAATATGGATGACAGCGCCTTCTCCAACGAACGGCTGTCTCATGCTGAAAGCCCTTTAAAACAGGTCTTTGTTTTTTGCCAAGCGCTTTATTGATGAGAGCTGTCAGCGGCCATCATGAGTAGTGTGACAGACTTGGGAGTATTATTTGGCACCTGACAACCTTTAGCCGATCCACCGTGTCATGATTTAAACAGATGCAGCTGCCCTTTGTGCGTTCCCATTAATATTCCTCAGAAAGTAACTGCCATATGTCGTCTTCAGTGCGCAGACATGGCTGGTAATTTTACTGCCGTAATTAGGCTTGGCGGCACAGCCAACGCTGTTCTTCAGTAGGTATCCCCTTGTGCTTGTTTCCCCGCGCCCTATATATACTGACCAAGCCTTTTTTTGCCTTTTAGAATCGGGGATAGCCTCTACAGAAACTGCGGCCAGTTCCTCGACCACGACGTGAGTCTTGCGCAGGCGGCCCGGCGTCTCCAGCATGTCTGCCTGCGTTTGTCCAGGCAGGTCGAGCAGGGCTGGCCCTTGGACCAAGCCCTCCAGGACGAGAAATACCTTGCGTACGAGGGGATCCTGGACGTGACCGCGGCAAAGCTGCAGGGCGCGCGCAAGAGACTGGTTGCGCTGGGCAAGCTCGTGCGCGACATCCAGGAGGCCCTGCACCGGGCGGCCGCCTCGTCCGCGCCGCCGCCGCCGCCCTTCAGTATTGCGCGGAGACTGGCGCTGCTGCAAGAGGCCATCGCCGACGTGGAGCTCTGGCACAAAATCTACAGGCTCTCGCAGGTGCTCGCCATTGGAGCGCCAGACCAGGCGCCCGAGCGCCACAGCGGCTCGTTTCTCTTTCCCACCGTCCGCGTCTTCAGGAACTTGGCGTTTGCGCCCGTTCCCATGTCCGACTTCCGCGTCGCCACCATCGCCGAGCGCGAGTATCTGGTAGACGTGGTCCTCTACAATCCCCGCGGCGGCACCGTGTCCCAGGACCTCCAGCACTTTGCCCGCAAACTGGACGCCGGTGAAGAAGATCTCGTCGGACTGCTGTCTTGCAAAGGCTATGTAGCGGCCGATATGAACGAGCATCAGGTGCAGTTTGCATTTCTGCTGCTGCTGCCAAAGGGATTCGGCAAGCCCTACTCCCTACGCGCAACGCTCATGTCTTCCAAGGAGCCCTCGACGTCTGAAATCCTGCAAATCGGCCAGGATATTGCTGCGGCCGTTGGAATGGTGCATAATTATGGCCTTGTCCATAAGAATATAAAACCAGAAACTATCGTGCTTCGCAAGGACCAAAAGACGGGCAAGGTGTCCGCCTTTCTCGCTGGGTTTGGCAAACTCCGGCTGGACCTTCGTGAGAACCGCAAGCCCGATTTTTACTGCCACCCCGACACCCACGGCAACACTGCAGAAGCCCTCTATGTTATGCAGAACGACATATATAGTCTCGGCGTGCTTCTGCTTGAAATCGGACTGTGGAAGTCCTTTGTCGGCGCGGCGAGGGACCCGCCAGAGTCTCCAACGCCCCCTTCGCCTTGGCTCCAGCAGTGGGTTGACGAAGCATCCGGCGTCCCCCAAAACCGACGTGTAAAATCTGGTCTTATGCGCTTGGCAGAAGAGCGTCTACCGCAAAGGATGGGGTGTCTATACGCGGATGTCGTCAAGTTATGCTTGACCTGCTTGGATGCCCCCGACGTCAACCAGGAGGACAGAATCCCGCGAGCAAACAAAGAACTAGTGGGAGCTCACTATGTCGAGAAGGTAAGTCATTTTTTCTCTACAAAATAACCGTAAAGCTGACCCCGTTAGGTTCTTATTCCACTCCATAGTATTCGCATGTAGGTGGCCACCCGCCTTCTTCGAGTTGATTGTCTCCATGAAATTGTATGCTAGCATTCATCACCAAGTAAACTAAGATTCAACTACATTAAGCCATGAACTCGTGAGGAACAAAAAGCCAAAACAAGATTGCAGCAAAAGGTGCATGAGCACAACCATTCTGTCACCGCTGCGTTGAAACTCAATCTCATTGCAGCCGGTATATCCGTCTAAGAGAGCTTAAACCAAGAGGTAAGCCGCGGCAACCAGGCCACCAACCGCGTAGGCTGCCTGGGCTGTCACGCCCTTCGCAGCATTAACGACAGTCGGGGCAGCGGTACTGGAGCTCGAGGCGCCTGAGGACCGGCTGCCGGACGTCTGCGCCGCCGTCACAGTCGACACGGGGGTGCCGGGGGCGGTGCCGTGGCTGGCGCCCGAAGTCGGCTGCGCAGACTGGCCCGACGAAGTGGCCGCGACACTGCTGCCACCACCGCCGCTGTTTCCCTTGGCAGGCCAGCCGCCATCAATCGTGGTGGTCAGCTGGCTCACGTCGGTGGGACGGGTGGCATCGACGGTGATGCCGGCGACCGCGCTGGTGGCGGCTGCGTTGTACGTAGTGCTGGTGAAGCCGCACACATACAAGAGACGGTCAATTTCTGGAGTACAAGTTAGTTATTTGGCTTTTTCCACGAGAGAACATGTGTTTCTTGTTCTTCCTTGGTCACGTACGGTGCAGATCGTCCCGGTCTGTGTGGTCGTCGTTGTCACGCCTGGGGTTCCGGTTCTGGTGCATGCAGTCGGCGCAGAGCCCGGCAATCTTGCCGACGGCGAAGCTCTTGTTGGTGCAGATGCACTGGTTCTGGAGGTGGTGCTCGTCGCGGTCGCGGTCGCTGCGCAGGTCGACGTCGCACTTGTCTGAGAGCGTGCCGAGCGGCTGGCAGATGGTCTTGCAGGCCGCGGGGACATGGTCCATTTCCAACTCGACGGCGTTGGCGGCGAGGACAAGCTGGGCAACGGCCAGAGCAATGGTGCTAGTGTGACGCATATTGGTGGTGTTATATGGGATGGTAGAGGGTTTATGAAGGTGGGATAGAAGAGTGAAACTGATTCGAGATGGGATACCAAACAACTTGTACGAGGGATTGGAATCATTTAAATAGACGGAATCGAAAGTGACCAGAATAACTAGTACGTACCAAGTAATTGACCCCAGATAATACCTGCCAACACGTCATGGACATTTGGGAAAAGATGCTGTCAAAGGTGGATGCGCAATGTACAAGCAATTTGCTCCTTCCCACTGCGGAAACCCTGTTTCATCGCATATATTGGAACATTGAGTTACAAGTTGACAGCCCACAATCGGTCTCTTGGTGTATTTCCTCTATTACCGTCATCGCAAGTGACCATCGGGACTGCTCAGCCACCATCTGAGGCGCGGGAATCCCAAGAATAGAAAATATTACGTGTGTCGTCGGATCCAACTTGGCTGTCCACGACATTTCCGGGTCATCGCCGTTGGGATCCAAAGATGAAAAGACGCCCGCCTGTCCATCATTGCCTAACTGCGACATGGGGGTGGAGATGGTCTCACGCCACCCTTGCTTGGGGCAGGCTGAGCCGGGCCAATTGTTCTCGCCTGTGGCTTGTTGGCAATGGGCAAACCCCCCCGCTCCCGCTCCATTATGTGTCCCAGCCACAATATGTGGGAATATCCAGGCTTTTGCCTGGCAAGGCAGGCCGCTGGCAGGAAGATGAAATCGATAATAGAGCGGAGAGTCGATCGGGAATGCGGCAAGTTGGACAGCGTTGCAGGCAGGAGAAACGGTCTGGGTCTCGGGCAGCGGTGCCGGAACCCTTGACTCTTTGCTTTTTGCTCGCATGTTCATCGCCGATTCGAAACAACAATGGCGCCTACAGCTTGATTGCATCTTTATGTTGCTGTTGACACTGGATATGAAAGGAGCAAAGGAGCAGCACGTGAGCAAAGGGGCAAGACTAGATGGGAGGCAGCCAACCAGATTCTGAGCGTGACATCGGTGCTCTGGTTGGTCAAGTCGTGATCAACTGCTCTGTTATTGGAGCATCTCGTTACTAGGACACCTGCATGGGCTGCTCCAAATTTAGCAGTTTACTCAGCCAACGCATCCAACCGCAGTCAACTAACTGGTGATCAGCGCCAGCGCCAAGGCCCCCAAAGCGGCATTCGCACTCGGTAGAGGTAGACGAAGCCGATGCGCCGCTGAAGTGTACTCGGCAGTATAAGTGCAAAAGGGGAGCAAAATGCCATCATTGTTGTCGAGGACTGGTTGTTTGTTTGTCTCTGTGGATAGTAGACATGTGGGATGTGGGCTGGTGAGCCGCAAGGCGGCGTGGTCCGGTATCGATGCTGGGCCCGCTCCGGGCCGCCAGTTGGCAAAGGCGGTTTCGGCGGTGAGAAAATAGAGCTGCGAGTCATAAATAATATGGTGATGAATGGCATTTAGGTACGGCGTGCAGAGAACTTGATGGCGGCTCTCGGGCGGCTATTTTTAGAGTAGCTCGAGTAAGAAACACTTTTGGAAAGGGTTCCAGCTCTGAAGCTCGGCGCTACTGGACTAGTTCGCACAGAGGCTACTATTTATAAGCTTATCTCGGGCCAGTTTCATGCCCGTATTGAGAGATCTTTGTTTCTCTTCCAACACATTTGAAGAGTTCTCCCCATAGCGATTGGCCTAGCAACAAAATAGCAGTCGGCGAGACATGACCCCCAGATCTCGGAAATGAACGAGTCTGTTCACGGCTCACTTACCACATGCGATCAGCAATCATGACCGGAGGAGTCTGTCACAGTCGGCAATTGGTCGCGACTTCGGTAGTCGAATCTCGCCGTCGGTCCTCGCAATTTGATCGTCATGCCAATTCGCCGACTCATACCAATTGTAGATGAAAAAAAAAGGCGCTATGCGAATGTCGTTGTGAACAGGGCGCAGCCAAGGCTGACAGATGCTTATCTTGGAAAAAGGGCAATCAGTGGTGGGAACAGTTGTTGAAGAGGTAGGTAGTTACTGATAACCCGTGAGTTGTAGCTTGCGCTACGCATGTCGGATGAATGAGATGGGCTCTTCTGACTTGCTTGACTCTGTCACTTGCAATGTGGGGGTATCAACATGCCGAGCCTAGAAGCTCTCTCACGTGGCAAAATCTGGGGCGGCAGAACGGTGTCAAGTGAATGAAAAATAATAAGTACTCCGGACGCTTGTATTCATGGGCTATGTAGCGGCTGCCAAAGATCATAAATTCGTTCAAGTATTCAATGAGACAGACAGGCCATCATACAGTAACAGGTGAGGAGGCCAAGATAGGTAACTGCAGCACGGCTGGGACAACATAGTCAGTGAAGTATAAGCGTGAATAAGTCGGCAGGTTGCTACTATTTATAAGCTTATCTCGGGCCAGTTTTTCATGTCCGTATTGAGAGATCTTTTGTTTCTCTTCCAACACATGGCGGCCGTTTATGAGTGTGAGAACCGTTGGTGAGTATGAGCGGAGCGGAGATATCCGTAGTGGCTAGTTTGTTAGTATGACAGGCACAGGCAGTCCGAGAAAGCGGCAGGGACGATCATAAACTGGTACTGAGCGCCGCCCGAGTGAAAGTGAGTGAGGTCAGTGTCAAACTGTCTGTGTAGCTACGGAAGGGCGATGAGCTCGGATTTCAAGGCCGGGAGCGACAGTGAATGCCAGAGCGCAGGGTGAGTGGTGTGTGCCACAACGGGCCAGAGTGAGCCACAGTGGCTGCAACCGACACACACTGCCAAAGCAGAGGCAACTGCCGGAAGCTGAAGCGGCATGAGGTGGCTTGCAGTTTTAGGCCGTTTTAGCGCTAATCCACCCCTACAATGCCGAGAGACAGGCAAACTTTGGCGGACGTATGCCTGTAAGTTTTTGGCAGTGACCACTTGTCACCACCAATCTACTCCGTACATAGCACCAACCCTCCTTGGGCCGTCACGTGTGGCTTGCAGTTTGGCGCTTGGGCTGCCCAAAGGCTCAACTGGCTCCTCGCCGGCCAGTTGCCCACTCGTCACCGCGGCAAACCAAAGTATTACTGCTCCACAACGAAAAGCCTCTCATAATTCCCCATGCCCTTGAGTCGGCCGGCATTTTCAGCCCTTTTTTTCCCCCTACCTACCTACATACCTACTCCCTCTCCGCTCTTTCAACAAACTCCACGAGCGCCCGCTGCCGTTTCATCACCACAGTGCTTCATTTTCTCAAGGTATCGAGGAGCAGAGGCCGGACGCTCACGCCCTGTCGCTGCCTCGTCGCTCCTCACAACCTAAAGCACACTCTCGGCATCGCAAACGCAGCCTTGAACCAAAGTGGCTTGCCTCGTCGGCGTCGTCATCACCAGCAACTGCACCATGAACGTTCTCCTGTCGCCGCAGCCGCCCCTTTTCCCTCATCACCGCGAAAGTCCTCGCCAATCTCCTCAACGATCTTGTGAGTTCTTTCCTCCCTTTTCGCCAACCTTTCTTTCCTGGGTTTCCGCCTCCTGTCAACGGGGCCGCCGTGAGACCAACATCCAAACTAACAACAACTCAAGTATCCCCCTTTCACAACATGGCCAATCGGAAACGAAAAGCCGACGAGGACGGCGATGGGGATGAGAACATGTCAACCTTAAATTCTCCTGCCGCCCATCCTCGCAGCATCGCTCGGCCCTCGAAAAAAGTACGATCAAACGACATAACTGGCCGCCCACTCACCTTGTCTCGACTCCTGGAAACTCTCGATACCGACCAGCTTCGCACCGTCCTCGAAAGAATTTGCGAGTCGCACCCCCTAATCGGCCACGAAGTCGTCACGCAGGCCCCTCGACCCTCTGTTGATGCTGCTCTCGCAGTTCTGCGTCGATACCAGGACAAGCTCACTGCCGCCATCCCCTACGGAAACAGCAGCGCCGAATACACGTACTGTCGTGTCAAGGAGCCTCTCATCGCCCTCACCGATGCCGTCGCCGACTTCACGCCTCAGTTTTTGCCCCCTACCGAAACACAACCGACCAAGTCCCTGGAGTTCCTCGATCAGGTCACGAAGCTGATTCACGCACTACCCGACTGGGAGCCTCAAGCTTACCGTCACCACAAGAACGGTGCGTACGACGACATTTCCAGGGCATGGGCCCTCGTCATCAGCGAAGCTGGCAAGCGAGCTGGTGGCTTCAATCTCCACTCCGATGGCTGGGACCAGGCTCTTAACAGACACAACGACCAGTCCAGGGGTCGTTTGGCTGGAGCCATTTCCGCCATGGCAAGCAGCGTCGGATGGATGGGTACCGGTCCGAACCAAAGCTCAAACGACCAAAACTCCATCCTCAACCAGCTCATGTCTGGCTCTTATGGTTCACCTGTGCGGGTCGGGCCATGGTAAAACCTTACCGACTTGGAAGCAACGAATTTATAGCACATAATGGCCGACACATACCGCCGATATATAAAGATACCAAAGGGGCCAGCGCATATTCAATACGGGACCCGCGGCATACATGACACGACACGTTTTATGAGATTTCATCTGGCATCATGGACACTAGCATAGACTTTTGGACTTGGCTTTTCTGCGCACAACGGAATGGTACCGGCGTTTGTTTTTTGGTGGTTTGACTCTTATCATTTATTTTGGCAAAACGGTTGGTCTCCTCTGTTTTCTGTCTTCTACTTCGCGCGTATTGTTTTTGGCCTTTTCCGTTTCCCTTCTCACTTGAGATGGTGTAAATAGCACCGAACAACATAGTAGACCTCCCTTTTACGGGAGTACCAATACAGCGGCGTTTTTAGATCTCGCCGATTTTCTTAGCTCTTTTGCATTTTACTGAGTAATTTTGTTGCATTGCAAAAAGTCAACTCGAACTGTGCTACTAACTCGAGCCGCTTTGCGTGGATGCTAGGGGTGTTGGTGTGTGGAGGTGGCGACTGTCTGGTACGTACCGCCACCGCTGCCAGATACTCACGTGTTTACCTGTCGAGGCGCGCGACAGTGTGAACGCGACCTCCTACAACAACCGCGATTATTAGCCCAACGTCAATACGCCCGCCAAAATATACTTTGCATAGTCTGGCTGCTCAATTCACTTGAAATACGCTGGGATAATAACAGTTGATGGTGGAAGATCCATTCAGTGTATAAAATGCCTGCGTACGTCGCGAATCAGGTCCCCAGCAAACGCCTGTCGTCGCTACTATTCACAATTCTGTTCACAAGCTAACTTGATTTACCTGCTCTAGGCCAGGCGAACAGCACAAGCCATGGACCAACCCATACGAAGAAAAGAAGCCGCGAATTTCGGAATGGACCGCTAAAGACATTGCCACCATATCGCTCCGCCTTGACAAACAGCTCGGCCCTGAATACATTTCCTCGCGCGCGGGCCCCGGCGGCTCGCGCGTGCACTACCTGACCGCCGACAAGTGCATCAGCCTCGCCAACGAAATTTTTGGCTTCAACGGCTGGTCCTCGTCGATCCAGAACATCCAGGTCGACTTTGCCGACGAGAACGCGCAGACGCAGCGCGTCAGCATCGGCCTGAGCGTCATCGTGCGCATCACGCTACGGGACGGCACGTACCACGAGGACATTGGCTACGGCTCCATTGAGAATGCACGCGGCAAGGCCATGGCGTTTGAAAAGGCCAAGAAGGAGGGCACCACGGATGCGCTGAAGCGCACCCTGCGCAGCTTCGGCAACGTCCTGGGCAACTGCATCTACGACCAGGAATTTGTAAAACAGGTGACCAAAATTAAAGCGCAGCCGGTCAAGAAGTTTGACGAGGACAATTTGCATCGGCATGCGGGTTTTGTGAGGAAAGATGTGCCGGTCGCACAGGTGGTACCGGCAGCGCCGACGGATGCCTCCGAGGCGGGGTCGGGCTCGTCCTTTGCGTCAGCGGCAGCGGCAGCCAAAGTAGAAGCTTCGGAGTCATTTGAAGACTTCCTCGGCGGTAAGTCTTTGGAGGATGTCATGAAAATAAGCGGCTCATTGTGTGCCAAATATGATATGACCACGGCGCTAACTGAGTGTGTCGCCAGATTTCGACGAGGCAGACTTTTGCGTGTCCGAGGAGGGCCATCCTGATGAGGTAGTAGTACCAGTCCCAGCTGTCGCTAAAGGCCCGCAGACAAGACAACAGCAAGATCAGCGGCAAGCCAGCAAACCTGTACAGCAGCGCAATCACCGCCCACAGCCACCTCAGACCCCCAACGCCCAACATCAAAGACAAACAGCAGGCAATGGCACTTCTATAGCGCCTCCAGCTCCGCCAGCTGGTGAGCCAGTCGCCGCATTCTTCTCGGCACGTGCTGTTGCCACGGATGCGAACCAGACGTCCGCCATCGTACCCAATAAGCAACAGTTTTTCAATCCAAAGGCAGAGAGCCCCTCGATACGAAAGACGCCGGGCATCGACCACTCGTCCTCGAAACCGCTATCACGGACCGGACAGCATGTGCCGCCGCCGAGCCAAGCCGAAGATCCGTCTGCCGCCACGCCTAGTCGGCCGGCGGCGGCAGGGAGACCTCACGGGGCCGGTGGACCGTCCGCCGCGGGCGGTTTCGCCCCCAAAGGACACGTCGTCAACCCGAGCCTGGACCAGGCGCGCAGGATCGGGGCGCCAGGAGGTCCTGCGAGCCCACTGGCCAACAGGAACTCGTATAAACCCCCCACTATGAAACGGCCGCTGGGCCAGGACGGTAACGCACCGCGCGTGCCGCTGAGTGATATCCCTTCCAACGGACCCGTGGTGGCCGGGGCCGATGGCCTCGATACGAAGCGACAAAGGATGGCATAATACTCACTTTTTGTTTCTCCTGTGCACTCTCATTTTAGGGAAGCTACTTTGACAAGACGGACCAGTGACTTTGGTGACCTCATGACGGACGTTTTGGAGTTGATGATGGCGTTGGGTTTTATATTTCTTGATACTGCAGATAATGTTGCTGTACGTGCACTATATAGCGAATATTGTACTCTGTTTTTATCTTGTACATGAAAACCGCACGAAAGAAAACGGATTTAGCCCAGTCTTGCATCATGACTGCCTGTCACATGGTAGACGCTGGTCGCTTGTTGCGGGTGCGGCGGATGCGAAAGCCCGTGGTCAGAAGGCGGCTGCGCAAAAGACGCGAGCGCCAAAAACGCCTTTTCCTCCGCACCCGTGCTGGCGACGCTCGAGGGGTGGCCGGCAGCCTCGGCGCCGCCAATCACGAGGAGCTGCTCGTACTCGGCGCGGAGGCGCACGTACGCCCGGTCCATGTCGTGCGCACGCTGGGCGGCCTGGTCGAGAAGCTCCTCGAGCTCGGCGATGCGGTCGTCCTTGCGCTTGCGGTAGGCTTGCTGTGATTTTCTGTTGGCGGCTCTCCGGCGCTGTGAGGACACTATGAGCATTTTTTTGCAAGGAAAAAAAAAAACACGAGCTGGCTGGGGAAAACGCACGCACTTGAATGACAGCGGGGGCTGCGTTTTTGTAACGGTTCGGGCGGCTTCGTCTGGGCTTTTTGGGCGCTTCTGCGGAGGGAGTGGTGTCTGTGTCTTGGAACGACGGCGACTCGGAAGGGAGTCTCGCTTCAGGCGGGCTGTAACTACTATTACTCTCTTGACTAGACACGTCGTGGTATAAGGGAGGGACCATGAGAGACTCGGCGGACCTGGGAAGTTGTGAATCCTGTCATTGGGTATTAGAAGAGTGGTTTCAATACTTCCGTATTATGCAAAACTCACTACAGTCAGGTAGTGGCCGTGTTTGAATGTCAGCTCGGGCATGTCGGGATACATGTCAAGGGGCAAAGACTGCGCCTGAGGCGTAAGTGGTGTCAGATGGGATGTTGAGTGCAGGGACGGTGTGAGGGACATGGCCATGGAGTTGGCGTACGCGGATCCAAGGCCCAGTCCGGCCACCCAGTCTGCGGAACAGAGATAGAGCACATCATCTCCGAGCAGCTGCATCGCGGGCACGAAGTTATCGCTGCGGGAGGTTGATGGCTTCGACATTGGCTGTGGAGCGGCTGTTGCGAGGAGGTGTATTGATATGACAGGGAGCGCGGGAGGAAGCAGGAGGAGCCAAGAGCAAAGGAGGATGGGCTGGGTGGTGGATGATGAGATGGAGGACTGGACGGGGCGGTCTCAGGACTATAAAGATTTCGACATGTGGTCGAGATGACGGGTGTAGATGGTATCGTTCAAGGAGACGGCGAGTTTACTCCCCCAGAGCCACGCGGCCAGCCCCATGTTTGTCTACACTGCCAGAACTGACTGGGCTCTTTATTATAAATAATGTTAAGCTATTGGCACCGCAAATATCGCCTTAGCTGGGGTGGAGAGCCGCAAGGATCCAGATATCTCGTGCTTTTCGGGGAAGAGGTTGGCAGGGGGGGACACTGGCGTGTATCTCGACGGGCCATCGGGTGTGTGGCTAATACCAACAGGATTTTGATGACATGTCGGGAGTTGTGTATGAGGATGTAGATGAAATATGTAAGTATCAAAGGGATCCGTTGAAGAGGGGGGGGTGTATGTGTAGTGTGGTCTAGGGTAAAGGGAGAGGGGACGAACCGGAACAGCGTGTACTTGCATCGTTTTGGTACTGTTCTACGTTTGGGGTAGCGGCATGAAGAGGATTACGAGAGGTGAAAGCGAGGTAAAAGGTGAGAAACAAGTAAGCCTGGTGGATGTATCAAAACAACAGTTGAGCAAGATGAAAATCACCGAGAGTGGGAAGCATGTCGGGGTGTGTGTTAGAGGGACGCACAGGAATAAGCAGACGCCCCCTTTGCCCCAGCTCCTACAGCCTTGCGTTGGAGCTTACCAGTAAGTCAGAGATAGTCTGGCTGTATTTTCTTTTCATTTTTCTTCATTTTTACAACCATGGTAAGGCCCTTAGAAGGCGGGAAAACGGGCACAACAGGGACCAAACAAGGTCCTTTCAACAAATCACCCAGTTCGTTGCTATCCGGTAGCGACGTCTAATGTACATGTATTCTTGCCAATTTCAACAGCCCTCGCAAGGTTAGCAAAATGACCTCTGACATTTGTTCTTGTTGTATCGGGTTCCTTGCCTCTTCGGCCACTGCCCACTCGGGTATCGCGCCGTCGTCTACCTGCATTAGCTCCTCGCGCCCAGATATTCCACCCAGGAATGACCGATCACGATTCGTTGTTGTCATCGCGGGTCATTTTCGAAAGTCTAACCAGTATTAGCTTACCTCTCGGTGCCAAAACACCCGACGGATGCGCCGACGGCTCCAAGCACAGCCGTCCTTCCGGTAGGGCTCGCCCCAGCCTGGTCATCAGAACGGCTTCCCAGCAAGCTCCGGTGCTCCCCTGGTCTGGATCACGACATTACCGTACGTTTTTCTTTTCTGTAAGCTTTTTTTTCTGCTTGACACGGTCTAGCTTCCGCCGTGTCTTGGACCTCGCATTGAGTATCGGAATGGGCCAATTCGTCCAGTTTCCCAAAACAGGATTGAGGCTCGGAGAATCTTTGTAGCTAGCACGGTATTGGCAATATTACCTCGGGAACAACTAGAAATGTATCCCTTAGTTGATGGAACTTGCACTGGAGCTACCCAGGTTGCCCTCGTCCGCCCTAGTTCTCTCGCGCGCGCCACCCCAGCCTGGTCTTCCTAGCAATCCTCCAACGCCATCCAGGCCAGTATTTATCTCGCTTCTCCGCACTTCTAGAGAAATCTTCTTGAAGAATTGCCTCCTCTGCTTGCCGTAACCAGCGTACACGGAGTTGGTCTAGCAAAGGTCAATACCGCACCAGCGAAGTTATTGATGAGGGAACTCACAGCCATCAATTGTACACATATAGAGTTACTTAGGGTAAAGGGGATGCTCTTGACGCCCTGTTTTTTCGGCCGTCTCTTTCATTGTATTATTTTATTCCCGTATGCATATGCATGCCTAAATGGGTCCCTAGATGCTGCCGACGCACACCGTCGTTGTCGCCGCCGCTCTACCATGCTCCCGGAATACGACCCGTACGCATACTCGGCCTGCTGCGCCGCGCTTCGCCATCTTCAGCTCGGCATTGATCTGAAAGGGAAGGTGACTAGGACTCTAGGAGCACACTGATGCCGCCTTGACTGGCTCTAGTGCTGCTGCTGGTCCCAGCCTCCATTGCGTTCCTTCCAATGGCTTCTAGTATACATGATAATTAAAACAGATAAGAGTAGAGTATTCCAAAATATAATAACATGTCTGCATTTTCCGAGAGTTATATCAGTCAAGCGCATTTTTGACATTGTTGGGATGTCGGCGTTGATCATGCCTCGTTGACCAGACTTGGAACTTTGCGACTGTACGCTGTCCAAAAATTGTAGCAATATTTTCCGACTCAAACTCTGCAATTTGACAGAATGTGGAGGCAGTCATTGCAATCGAATTTTGCCTAGTTGGAACCTTTGTCGAGTTTCTTCAGACCGTCTGCCGCCTGTTTGGCTCCGTCCTTGAAGTCGAGCTTGTTGCACAGTTCAATGCACTGTTCATACTTTTTCCTAGCGACGGTTGTTTTACCAAGCATGGCAGCCACGTCGCCCCAGTTGCACAAGGCTACGGCGCACGCCTCGTCGCATTCCGGTGTCCGCTCGTCGCCCTTGACGTCATTGCCATGCATGTACGCATTCTTTGCCCAGTTTTCGGCCGCCTCGAGGCATTCGGGTCGCGTCTTGGGCATTTCGGCGCGCTCGAGATCCTTCAGGCCCTCGGACAGGGCGCCGGACAGGAATGAAGCGGGAATCTGAGCAAAGGACGCTGCCAGGTTATTCATGACGACGGCGCGATGGCACGGAAGCTCACACAAGCGAAGCGCTTGGAAGAATAACGGAATAGCCAGGTGAAACTGCGACTTGCGCTCGTAGTCTCGCCCCAGCGATTCCATCGCACCGCCGACTTCAGTGGGGGTGAGCCAGGACTCCTCGCCAGGTTGTTTTCCTTCGGTTTGGCGACGTTTGAATTCTTGGAGAGTCGTTTCAACGGCCCATACAAAATGCTCAGTCGCTTTCTCTGGCTTGAGGACATGTTCATCTGCGTATAACTCTCCCAACGCAACAGCGGTTTTGACAGCCGTGGCCAGCACTCGTTCTCGTTTGCGCCAAAGCGTCTCGCGTGGGGTTTCCAAATCCTCGTCCTTGGCCACCGCGTCACTGTTGGTAGCCGGCCGATTCTTGTCACCGAGCTCCTTCACATCGGCCAGGTTTGAAGAATCGATGTAATGGCCGTGCTTGTCCACCTGGCCGTCCTCCACAGACTTGGCCATCACACTGACCCATTTCTGGCAATCAGCTAATACCGATGCCAGAACCTCACCACTCGACGTGTAGTTTTCGAGTTGTTGAAGCCAGGCCGACACCTGGATGCGAATGCCGAGCACCTCATCCGAGAATGGGTCCAGCCCGATCTCGGCGCACTGCTGCATAGCCTTTTTGTAGTATTTTAGGGCGAGCTCGGGGTCCGGCGCATAATTGCTGTAGTAAATCGCTCGCCTGAGGGTGTTTGCAACGGGTTCGGGGTATCTGCTGAGGTTGTTGTTGTAGAAGTGGGCGTAAAAGCTTCTTAGCGCGACGGCGCTGATGCCGAGAGTGACGAGAAGTCTGTACTTGGCGTCAGCCTAATTCCTGTAATCCAGATTGCGCAGCATTCAATCGCAACTCACAAGGCGACGGCAAAGGAGGTCGAACCGGGCGAGTCTTTGTATGCCTGTTTGATACCCCTGGGGCTCAGGGCAAACGCGAGGTTCCGCAGTCCAGCGCCCAGGGCGCGCCCAGCAAATTGGCGAAACGTCACCTTCTGTGGTTTATTCGGAGGTGTATTCTTTTGCGCTTCTTCCCCGGCGCTTGTCGATTGAGACCTCTGCCATGATGGTGGCAGTAAAGTAATGGCACGAAGATGGGCACTTCTAGAGGTGGCATGGATAGACAGCAGCCCAGCCGTTCGGGGCTGCAGACATTGCCGCGAAATAGGTCGCAGCGACGCGACTGCAAAGACGGACATGTGTAAATACGCCTTTTCAATTGTATTTCGGCGCGCGTCTTGCCGATGGGCTTGATGGCAAACCTTAGTCCGACCTTTTTCTGTATTAGAAAAAAGAATGACGCTGACCAGCAGCTTCAGTCCCGATTGGTCCGTGCGCCTGCGTAACAAGAAGAATTGCGGGCCGAAGACGGAATGGGTGGGGGAAGCTTGAGGGCTTCCTCGGCTGGGCGATGGAAGCATCACGAGCTCAAATTATACAAAACACTTTGCATCACCACCGTGGCAACTCAAATCTCACGCGATGGCTGGAAAATTCGAACCCAAGGAGCCTGTGCAGCTCAACCCCCCCAAGGATGACCCCATCACCCTGGAGGAGCTATCCAAGTGCAACGGTACGTCATGAGAAGTCCGGCGACGCCTGAGGTCCAACCTGCACATGAGAACTGCAAAGCCGGTCAGGCTCTGGGGTGGAGATCATGGTGCATGGGAATTTGGACGGCTCGGAAAATTATTTGATGTTTTTCGACTTGGTCGGAGCTGCTCGGGGCCGCACCACTTCCCAACCCACCGAAGCAGAGGGAGGGGCAAGTTGCTGACTATGGCATCTTCACAGGCGTCGATAGCGACAAGATCTACGTCGCCATCAAGGTACGTTCAAACGTCTGGGACAAGGTCGATCGCGAATCCTAATGCGTTGGATATAGGGCAAGGTATATGATGTAACCGGCAACCCCTCGTATCTGCCGGGCAAGGCCTACCACGGTATGTGACCCTACTTTGCAGTTGCTCAGATGCTTGAGCTGCACTCTACTCCGAGTACACCTTTCTATTGTACTCGCATCAATTTATGAGCTACAAAAGGTCCTCGAGAGTGCGAGCTTGTTAGAGGACTGGCCACGAATGCTCTGAACGGCTCGCTGACGCATGCGCGCCCCTCCTGCAGTCTTCACTGGCAAGGATGCTTCCCGCGCCCTTGGCATGACCTCGACGAAGCCAGAGGACGTGGTTGCCGACTGGTCGACTCTGAGCGAAAAGGAGAAGGGCGTTCTGCAGGACTGGATCACCTTCTTCTCCAAGCGCTACAATATCGTCGGCGTCGTCGCTGGTGCTACGAATATGGACTAGGAACTCGGGAGCAGGCTGTGAGGGATGATGCGCTGCATGGCGCAGAAAAGGAGTGTGAGAATGAACGGCGACGGCACATATGGGCTCTATTGCCAGCTGGCTTCTACTCCTGGACACGCCCGCCTTGGTCTGCAGTGTGAGGAGATGTAATTTCAAAAATGCAAAAGTTTTCTCACGTACCTTGAGGTCCAATCACCTTGGGAAAAATTGCTTTTTCTTGCCTCTTGAGCTTTAACAGCGAGTAAAAAGAGCCCACTAGAAAAGGATATCCCAGCATTCCACTTTGTAGGCCAAGGCGGCACCTCTACTGGGCACATCATCGGCAGTCGTCTCAACTTCCGTACTCTGTCTCGGGTCGGGTGATGCACCTTTGTGTAAGATGGGGCACTCCGATGCGCAGCTTTTTGAGGTCGTACAAAGATGACCCAGGTACCGGGAAACCAGTCTACCCTGGTCAACCGCAGATAGGGCTGTACATGCATGGTCGTGCGAGCTTCAACGTTGCCAGAATCTTGGGCTACGACGAACAACCGTGGCTCTCATATCATGGAGGAGCAAGTAAATTGCAATACCCGGTACTGGAAAGGTAAAATGGCACGTCACTAGCATCGGGAGTTTGTACAGGCAGGTCTCAAAAGGCTTGCAGGGATTTAGGCTAGCGGCGCAGCCACATGAGAGGATGATGGAACGCGGCATATGCAAACTCGCGACCTCATGCTCACAACTAACTGGCTGGCCAAATTGCTCTCAGCAGAGGGTCTGGGATAGTGTACTCGTGGCAGGAGCGGCTGCAGACCGAGAGCCTTGGTTAGTGAGATAGATGTGTGACAGATCATGCTGCATTGCTTCGTGGCAAAAGTGCGCTGAGTGTATCCCCGATCCCCTTGCCGTCGTTGGGGAAGATTGCTTCACATGGTGGGTGTGATGTCTTGGATACCTGTGCATTGTCACCCAGTAGAACTCGACGTTGAAATTCCGCCAATATTCGGGAGTCATTTCTCACCAGCAGCACATATCCTGGTCTAGTCAATTACGAGGGAGTGAAAGGCATGGATAAGTTTCAACAAAAGTCAATTTCGAGGTCAAGTGTCCAGGACTAGTATAGAAACTACTTCGAAAAAAAAGCCTATTATCAAACGATGGCAAGAAGTGATACATCGCATCGCAGTTATTACATTATCAACCCCATGAGTAGCACATTTCCCATTCTCACTCATGCCTCCGGTCCAGCTGTAGATCTGTCACCTCTCTCGGTAACAACCGAGAACTGTTCAGTTTCCGGAACACCATCCCTGCGTCCCGGAAGCGCAACGCCGTATTTTGAGCTCAAGGGAGGGGGGGGGGGGTGTAGATACGCTCATTGCCAATGGTACTCGCCAGTCTCGCGGACAAACGGGCCACGAGCGTCCTTGCGGTGGCTGCTGGCGGCCGCGGTGCCGTTTCCAGAGCCACCATTACCGCTGATGGCACCAGCGCAGGCGTTGCAAAGACGTTCCTGGTACCAACTGTTTCGCAGCCGCTTGACGTTGGTGCACTCATGGCGCGGGTGGTTGCGTGACTGGTGACAGTATGCCTTGAGGTTCAGGGCGTTGTGCCCACAGGTGAAGATATACTCTTCGAAATCACACATGATGACTGCGAGCGGGATAGTCTCACTGCAGTACAAGCCTTGTGGTGCGCTGGTGCTGTTTGGACTTTGTAGAGTTGAGTGTTGGTACGTGAGAGACACGAGTGTTCAGCAGGGAGAGGGTGTGGGGAGTTGTAAATATGAAAATGAGAGGAAAGCTAGAGACAAAGAGATTTAGAATTCCATACGATAAAGACGAGATGATATTGAGCTTTTATACCTAAAATTGCGGCTTCTACCAACAAATCACCAACCACGTTGCAGTCTGGCCCCAAATGTCTCAACAAGAGGAGAGCCAGCAACGACTCCATACACGTCTGCGCCTCGGGTCAAAGCCACCCCTCATGAAGCCTGATGAAAATTCGAAATTCCGGAACGGTGATCGATCCGCGCAGCAGTCGAGGCATCTCTGCGCCGGGTCGCCACAATCACCAGGCGGATGAGACAGAGCACGGCACCAAGATTTTCCTCTGTATGGCCCAGACATCTCCAGGCTGCGTTCCCATTGGTTCGTTACCCATGATGGCACGTTGGAACTAGTACCAACCACCGATGAAGCTGGTATGTGCTTGACGCAAGCCCATGAATGTGCTGCATCGAACTAGACAAGAATAGGTGAGCCGAAGGCCGGGATTGCCGTTTGTGGGAATGATGAAATTGCAAAGATAAAGTAAGTCAACAAAGAAGGAAACCCAGTGATTTTAGGCTTCCAACCTTGCAACCAAGGCATGGATCAAGACACTGTTAACTACCCCCCCCCCCCCTGGTTGTACCCCAGCAATTACTCGCTTGCTGTATTTCAGCAGCGATCCGGCGCATGCAGGGCATTGAAACGTTTTCGATCCGATTCCTTCATGCTGTGATACCCTCCAGAGCCTGACAGACGTTGGAGCGCCCGCCGCGCTGCTCCCGGGCGCACATTCTGGACAAGTACGTGACTCTGCGACAACGCCGGCGGCCCCAATCGTTTTGCGTGAAAGCCAGGCGCCCATCGGAAAACAGGCCAGGCCCTAGGAGCACGTCCCCAGCTCGTGTGTGATTGCGATGGCGACATGCATCAATAGATTCAGAATCGAAGCGAACAATAGGAAGAAGCCGTTCGCCACTGGCGGTTTCCCCCTCCGGGGGGCAGGATCTACGAGGTCGGCGGATTGTGGGTGCATGAAAGCTTTAATAACTCACAAGCTTCAGCCTTCCAGTCGGCAAGTGCTACAAGGGGTGGTCGGTAGTCTAGATCGCGGGCAGGGAACGGGCCAGCATCCTTGGCGGCCGATTTGGTTACATTGAGCTGCGTCGGCATGAGTGGATGGGGATCGATTCCCCGCCGTCGAAACTCTTTGAACGTGAGGCCATCTCTAGCATGCGATCCAGTTTCATGGTGTCCACCCCTACAGTGCCAACCACAAGGGAATGACAGGGCGGAAAACCCGTGGTTATTCAGTCACACAGCATTTGCCCTGGCAGGATTCGGGCGCTCTCGGGAATAAAAGAAAAATGGCCGGGCTTCTAATGTGTACAAAGGCTGATCATCTAGAGAGGGATGACGTGTCGGCGGTCTGTGTCACAGCTGAAGTTTCCAGAATCCGGGGTTCGGTTTCCCCTTCCCCGAGCATCAAGGGTGCTCTACAAACAAGTGGTCCCGGTGGCCAGCAACCAACTGGTGATTGCGGCTGCCTTAGGAGCGCGTTACACCCCCTGCCACATTTGGTGAGACAGACAACCAGGCTTTGTTCCTTGCTCGAGTACGGAGTACTGATACGCACACTTGGCTATCAAAGGGCTCAACCACAAGAGGAAATAGGCCGCCATGCACGTTCGCGGCAGACGTAGAATGCAACGTCACAGCGGGAAGAGAAAAGGGGGAGACGGTCCAGTACGAGAGCGATGGAATACCACGAGTCTGCTGATTGCTTCGTTGGCATGCAGCCTTTACGATTTCACACGACATCGTTAGTTACAGGTCGGGCGAGCTGCTTTGATAGGTATGTATTGTTCGTCTGCACCCCTCGTATCGGGACCGGCCCGCTGGCTCAGCCACCCGCAGCAGGGTTGTTGGCAAGCGGGCAAGGGACCCTGGCGGCTGCATACGGGAGTCTTGCACACCATGCACAAGTGAGCGTTTGGTGACGAAGCGTCTGATTGTCGCTGGAAATGTCATGCATCTGAGGAGCAGGCGCCCCGGAAGTAGTGCGTTCCTCCGTTGTGGCGACAGCGTGGCTTCCAAAACTGACACCAGAGCGAGACCTCCCGGCTCCGACTTTGGCTCCGACTGCAGATTTCCTGATTCAGAAATTCGCCGTGGCTTACCAAGAGGTACAGTACAGACTGATCGCTGGGTCTGATACTCATATCTTGAGGGCAAACCCCCGGGGTACTTATTGACACTTGAGTGAACATGTCGACTAACAACACCAAGAAAGACCCCGATTAGCATCAAGCATCAAGGCCCGACTTCCATTGTGAGAAACAGTACCCACAAGTCAGCGTAGACATGGACATACCCCGCCGCTCTCGTACCGGTACCCAGGTCGCCTATTCCTCGAAAAAGCTCTCCTCTTCTTCATCCTCCGCGTATCAGGCGGGCGTCCTTTGGACTATTCTTGGGAGGTCATTTAGGCAGCTGCCACGCCACTGATGACAGGAAAAGTGGCCCGTGATGAGGTTCTATCCGACAGCGACCAGCGGTATCGGAGGGTGCGAGCTCTCGGTACCAACCAGTTTGGGCTCCGAAGCGACATCTCGGTATTTTGGGGGCGATTTACCCCGAGATTTGGTCCGATAAAGACTCTCGCAGGTCAGCGCTGTGGCGTTGAGCGCCCAAAATTTCCCAACTTGTCGAACTAACGTTGGAGTGCCAACCTGGCAGGCGTCCAACACTGCCACGTAGCGTCAATTTACATTCTTGATTTTTAATCAGGAAATGAATGACCCATTTATTAGGAAACGAATATTTTAAATAAAGAGGTTAACTGTCGAAAATTGATTTGGTCCCCTTTAGGAAGTGAGCAAAAATGGTCGAAGGATCAGATTCCATGCATGTGGCAATACTCCGCATTGGACATTCGAAGTGATCGACGCAACTGTCTGATTTAATCCGCAGTATGTTAAGATCAAGACTTGATAATACAACTCACCAGATCCGTTCTAAGGATTAATAGCCGACGGACGAGATTGAGTCCGCCCGGTGAAGCAACGGGCGGTTCGGTTGGCAGTAGAGTGCCCATTGGAGGAGACTTGGACTCGAGCCTGGGTCATTATTTCGAATGAGTAGCTTACCATTGTATGATGAAATTGAAGTGAATTTGGAAATGCAATGAAATTGAATGTATCTTGAAAAATATCGCCGCGCTCGTAGCTTCAGACGGCGGCCACTCGATCCTCGTAAATCACCGCCATTAGTCGCATGCCCGTCGTGAGGGACGCCTCCAGGCTGGCCAGGAACCACGCCTTCCCGACCTGCGGTTACGCCCAGCGGGAGCGCGCTGGGTACCAAGTCCGCGTCGACCTGGCCGAGATCGCTCCGTCTCCTCACCCGAGACTGAAGCAAGAGGTCACGCTCTTCATGACGGCGGTGGTCCGCTGCTGCGCTCGCCAAGGGGAGCGCCGGGTCCCGTATTTAAAGGACGTGGCGAAGAAGAATGCTGGGGTTGTTGGGTCTGAGAGAAGCAGTGGCTGTGGGGGGCTTGTGGCGCCCATGGTTGGCTGACCGGAGGATAATGCTCACGACTCGGAGGTGGTGTGTTGTCTGCCGGCTTCTAAAAGAAGAAGATGTTCGACTCTTTTGGCTTCATGTGGAGGAGCGCAGCATGCTATGTATATTCGTCGGGGCTGTGCCGAGGCTAAACCTCTGCTGCCTCGCAGCATGAATAGCGCTAGTTGATTCAGTAAATGGGTGAATGCGACTCGCGTAAAAGACAGATTTACAGCCCCAAAGCTCTGAGTAATAATTGGAGGAACTATGTAGTACATACTGTGGTGAAGACAAGGTTTCTTGAGGCGTGTACAAGTACGGACGAAAATATGGGAATCGGCAGATCATGACAGGACAGAAAACAGCCTACAAGCAGCCAACAAAGTCTTTTTGTTTAAACCTAAGAAAAAGGACATAGTTGTATTTCTAAATACTCTCACCGAACTCTATGAAATCTGTTTCGCAGGTATGTAAGAGTGAAGCCGCTCTTTTAGCACCTCGGGCGTTCTCGGCCGTCCACTTGAGCAACTACTCCTAGGCTTGCGCCGGCATGATCAAGTACTGCCATCAAAAGTGCCATCTCGTCTTTCATGGGTGCTTCGCAGCGAGGATGAGTGCATTGGCTCCCAAGACTAGAGGTGGGAGGACAGATGGATATGGTCTGTTTCATCGTAGAGGGCCCTGTTGCCGGCGGCAGCTTAGTACTCCAAGGCCTGTACTTTAACTTGTTTCGACATTTTAGTCAGAACCTGAATGCTGCATTAAGCCTTAACTTATCTAGTGCTTTATATCCAAGTTAATGCCGGGCTAGCAAAATTTGAAGCCGAATTACCGGCTCGACGAGGGCCGCGTGTGGCCAACAGCCCTCACAACCAGAGCGCATCCCCCCGTGTGCTGTGGTAACCAATACAGCTTGCTTGAGAGAATAGCAGTTCGATTAGAAGGCGCCCCTGAACACATCGCATACTTCGCTGCACATCTGCTTGGCGCCGCGGTCGGCCGTTGAGGCGCGCCTCGATGCTGGCATCTCTGAACCTATGAAAGGGCATTCGCATGACAGAAGCCGCGTAATATGCAGCTTGCTTGAAGAACAGCACGCTGAAAATTCGAGGCCGCATTTTCGCCGTGTTCCGTCATGTATTAACTAGACCTTTGCTACTCATGGCTAAAAGGGCACTGCTATACACAAAACCCAGCCAAGGCATTGCGCAAAGCCGTAGGTGCTAAGTTTTGGGCAATCCCACTTCGTTTTCTGGACCGTCTCGCTCGATGCATGATTATCGGGCATCCTGGACATATTGGGATATTATCATTCTAGTGCGCATTGCTGGCAGTCCTGCAGCAAGTCATGGCCCGACTCGGTCCCAGCCGCCACGACTCGCCATCACACCCTGCATCAATCGACAGCCCACAACTACAGTGAGCGTTTGCAGGAATAGTGGCGGGATGCAGCGGTATGAATGCGCAGGAAGGGGAGACTTTGCAGCGAGGCAGGATGGGTATAAAGTGGCGAGCCGCAGCTCAGACAGATGTGTTCACCAAGCCACAACAAGCCCAAGTATTTCCACCAACAGCAACCAAAAGCACAACAGCCTGCCACACCCGCCCCAATCCCTCAAGACAACATTAAAAAAAGTACATCTCACGCTACCATCAAGATGAAGCTGTCTGTCATGTTGGCCCTCTCTGCCAGCCTCGTCGCTGCCCAGCCTGTGACGCGCGCGGCCGAGAAGCTGGCGCCCTTCCTGGAGCCCGACACCACGTTCGAGACGTGCGGCAAGCCTGAGCCCGCGGGCGGCCAGCTCAACGAGTCCGAGTTTTGCCTTGGCACGATCGAGTACTGCCGCAAGGGCCTGTACAAGAAGTTTGACGAGCCCTTCAAGACGGAGAAGGAGTGCCTCAGCTCCCGCACGCCAGCGCCCAAGGCTGGAACCCCCGTCAAGGAGGAGCCTCCGGCTGCTAAGGAGCCTCCGGCCGCTGGGGCGCCGGCCCCCCCGACCGGTGCAAACCCTCCGACAGCTGTGAAGCCTCCGACCGCTGAGGAGCCTCCGGCCACTGAGGAGCCCCCGGTCTCTGCGGAGCCGGCCCCCCCGACCGGTGCAAACCCTCCGACAGCTGTGAAGCCTCCGACCGCTGGGGGACCTCCGGCCGACGATCAATCTCCTGAGGAGGAGGAGGAGTGCCCGCCGGAACAGGAGCCGGCTGCGCCC